TGCTCTGGGGACCTCTGTTGTCTGTTGGCATGCGTTGGCATTCTCCCTATTACTGGATACTGTTGGAACACGCTGGAACCACCTGGAACCTATACGACCCTATAAGAACCGTCCTGCATTCTCCTGGATGTGCCCTGCCCCCAGTACCTGAAATGCATAGCTGCACTGATGTGTAGCTACCCTTCACTTTCACACAATACATTCACATGCTCTGGGGACCTCTGTTGTCTGTTGGCATGCGTTGGCATTCTCCCTATTACTGGATACTGTTGGAACACGCTGGAACCACCTGGAACCTATACGACCCTATAAGAACCGTCCTGCATTCTCCTGGATGTGCCCTGCCCCCAGTACCTGAAATGCATAGCTGCACTGATGTGTAGCTACCCTTCACTTTCACACAATACATTCACATGCTCTGGGGACCTCTGTTGTCTGTTGGCATGCGTTGGCATTCTCCCTATTACTGGATACTGTTGGAACACGCTGGAACCACCTGGAACCTATACAACCCTAAAAGAATCGTCCTGGATTCTCCTGAATGTGCCCTGCCCCCATTACCTGAAATGCATAGCTGCACTGATGTGTGGCTACCCCCATACAATACATTCACAAGCTCTGGGGAGCTCTGGGATGTGTTGGCATGCGTTGGCATTTTCCCTACTACTGGATACTATTGGAACACATTGGAACCAGCTGGAACCATCTGGAACCTATGCCCCCAGCACCTGACATGCATAGCTGCACTGATGTGTAGCTACCCCCCCTTTCATACAATAGCGTGTGTTGGCATGCGTTTTTCGTTACTACTGGATACTATTGGAACACATTGGAACCACCTGGAACCTATACGACCCTAAAAGAATGGTCCTGGATTATCTTGGATGTTCCTTGCCCCCAGCACCTTAAATGCATAGCTGCACTGATGTGTAGCTACTCCCCCTTTCATACCATACATCAAGCATTGACCAGAATTGCAGACAGGTTCAGAACAGAGGGGAGGTTTCAATGTGCAAATATTTCTTGTTGCTTCCAAATGGCTCTGCATCTTAGCTTCGAAAATGAAACGCAACAAACTTCAAAGGTCTTCAAAGCATCGTGACAAAATGCGCTGCCGTCCTGTTTGCAAAGCCTCGAAATTTCGTGAGATTGCAGCCTTGGCAAAGAGAAAGGCTGGAACTTGCTTTGGGCTCATTGATTCCGTGGCCAGACATCGAAAGAAGCTGTGGAAATCAATCGAAGGGCATCGTCAGTTTTTGAGGTTGAAACCCCCTTACTTTCATGCCTTTCATACATTTCCAGTGTTTGACAGAAACCACCTAGTCCCCCCTATATTTTATACAGTTGATTTTGTCTCATCTCATCCAGATTACTGCAGTAATTGAACTTGGTCCCCTCTATGCTTCATACATTTTCAGATTTTTTTCTTGTAATGAATTGATAGTTGATAGTAGCAGCTCACCCCCCCTGAGGAATAATTTTTTGGGGCTTCCCAAATATTGTTTTGTGCTGGTGCAAGGCAGGTCGCCCCCGTCTCATTCAATCAAAACCAATAATGTATAAACCTTCTTGAGACCTTTTTCCGTCGCCGGGCTTGACCACCTGCCCCCCTACCTTTCATACATTTGATGGTAATGTATGAACAGGGGGGTGTATACATATGGAAGGCATGGGGGGTTGTAATCCATATTCTGAAGTGTGTGTGTGTGGTGTATTTATCTATCTCAACCTCGCCAGATTTTTTTTGCCAGTTGAACATGGCATGGTACATGCTTTATTCCGTACGAAGCGCCAGTGGTCACAAATCCGTTCTTTACATGGTTTTGAAATGGAAATCTATAGGCATTTGCTGCATATGCTAGTCAGCATGGTGGCATTTTCATTTGTTGTGTCGTGAGGGACGCTTTGGACCTTTGGGCGACCAAAAGTTCTGCCGAGACACGCGGAAAACACGCCTTGAAACCTATGTCAGGAGCGGTGTTTGTTCTTGTAGCGATCTTGCTGCATTGTCCTGTTTCCAGTTCAAAGGTTTCATGTTCGATTAGTTTTCGAAGGAACGCCGCATTCCTTCCAAAGGGCGATCATTGGACTGTGTATGGGCCAAAAGCACAAAAATTTGGACACGTCAATATCACAGGAATGGTTGGGCTCCTTTTTGGGGCGTTGCTGGCAAACAGCACATTGTTTTTGATCAGTTGCTCGGCATCAGCTGGAGGTTTCGTTTTTGTTTGGACTTGCCAGTGCTGCTTCAGTAACACTGAACCACCATCCACTATCAGTTGTAATCCTCCTCATCAGCATCACCATCAGTTTCCCAAGTGTATAGTTTGTTACAAATCGTTCGTTCCCCGTTCAGATGAATGTTGTTTCCCGTTGCCAACCATTGGTTTGCCGACCGAGGTTGTGCTATCATCCCTTGATGGAGCTGGTAAATGCTAACCATTTCGTGACTCTCGCAGGCGTTGGGTATTTGAAAAGTCGAGTTTATGGGTACCGCGACTCGGCCGCGCAATTGTCGCGTGGACAGTGGGGTTTTGGAAGGCCTTGGAAAGGTTATCATGGCAAGATGCAGCGTACTTGTGGGATGATGGTATATGATATGGAACGTTAGTAAAAGGGAATCGAGTACAATTGGAATAATAATTGAAATATAACAGGAATATATTTTCCAGTCATCAAGCATGGCAGACCGCTGAGGTATCCCCAAAATAAAGGGATGTTTTTGTTTTTTTTTCCGGGAAGTGATGTTGGGTTGCCGAAATGTATATACCTTCTGGTAAACTAACATAGCTATTGAAAATTGCCATTTATAGTTGATTTTCCCATGTAACATAGTGATTTTCCATAGTTATGTTAGTTTACCAGAGGGTAATTCAACGGAAACAATACTTTTTGCTTTCCATTCACGTGCCCTTTTTCATAACCAGCAATTGTATATTTCCTGTTGTAAACAACACCTAGGGTAGCGATTGGCGAATTGTAGTTTAATGATTCGAAATGTGTGCGCTGTGTTTCAACCACGCGCAGGAATCAGACAATATAGGATACCCACCCAAAACAATGCTGAATGCTGGGCATCCCATATCAATATATATCAACTATGCCGTTAACATAGTTTAGCGGCCAGACATTCGTGCTGTGCAAAACAATAGATCTATTTTGGGGGGAAACATTATATCAAATTATATCTTCAAATTAAATTCTATTGAAACGGAATAGGAACTAAAGACTTGAATTCGATCCGTTGGGGTTAAACATGGACCCAGTAAAACCCAGTAATTACCAGGTTGGGGTCCCACACGAGGAATATTGATGCCGTTAAAGCAGGTGGTGCACCACCAACTCCTGACGTGCATGTCAGTGTTCATCGTTGACTTCGATATGATATGTCTCCCATTTGGCCAGTGAGCAACCCGTGACTGACCAAAAAAAAGTGCTCAGAATGCTAGTGCGTCATCCTGAATCCACCAGTCGATCACCTTCCCTATTTCTGGCATATCCATTTTCCAGTGGAATAGGTTTGAATAGATTAGACATGCCTTAGATATTCTAAGATAATTTCTCGTAAATCATTTTTTCCGGTGTATCATCTAGCAAATTTAAATGTAAATATAGCAAGTACATATGTATATAATATATATATATTTTAGATAGATATAAATAAATATTAGAATATATATCGACGGACTGAAACTTAGAATGCGCACTTGGAAGCGGCACTCCACACGTGCAAAACTGAAAAATTGCATTTTACCAGCATTTCGGAACTTAGAATGCGTCCCCCCACTTAGGATGAAGCTATTCGGCAATCAACAGTTAGAATGCCTCCAAGGGCATATGTTTTTTTCCAGGCAGAAACACACACACATATATATATATATATATCCTAGACCCTCCAAGTCACCATAAAAAAGGTAGTTTACCACATAATGTTCATAGTTTTAGCAACTTTTCCGGGTATTTGGAGGCTCTGGGTATATGAATGTACATGTTTGAGAATATCACCTTATTTTTTGTGCACTTTGCAGGTCTGGGTAAAGATTCCATGAAAAGTTGCAATGAACCAACAGGCAGCCCAAAGGCACTTTTACTCGCTTTCCCCATTCGATAACCTTGACAAAAGTGAGTTTCGGGTACAAAAATTGCGATTTTGAACACATACCTGAGGCAGATAGGCTTCTGGGAAAAGAGGACACACCCAGCCGCTAATGGTGTTGAACAGACAGTTAGAATGCGGCTTTAGTAAAGGATCCCCATCATTGATAAATACCTTTGTTTTATCTCCTAGGTGGGCCGCTAGCTGGAATGCCTGTAACTGTCACTGATTGGAAAAGATGTTTATATGTTTTTTTTTAAACGGCAAAACTGGAAAATTGCATTTTACCAGCATTTCAGAACTTTGAATGCCTCCCCCCCCACCTAGGATGAAGCTATTCGGCAATCAGCAGTTAGAATGCCTCCAAGGGCATATTTTTTTCCAGGCAGAAACGCATATATATCCCAGACCCTCCAAGTCACCATTAAAAAAGTAGTTCACCACATAATTTTCATAGTTTTAGCATTTTTTTCAGGGTATTTGGAGGTTGTGGGTATATGAATGTACCTGTTTGAGAATATCACCTTATTTTTTGTGCACTTTGCAGGTCTGGGTACTTTTACTCGCTTTCCCCATTCGATAACCTTGACAAAAGTGAGTTTCGGGTACAAAAACTGCGATTTTGGACACATACCTGAGGTAGATAGGCTTCTGGGAAAGAGGACACACCCAGCCACTAATGGTGTTGAACAGGCAGTTAGAATGCGGCTTTAGTAAAGGATCCCCATCATTGATAAATACCTTTGTTTTATCTCCTAGATGGGCCGCTAGCTGGAATGCCTGTAACTGTCACTGATTGGAAAAGATGTTTATATGTTTTTTTTTAAACGGCAAAACTGGAAAATTGCATTTTACCAGCATTTCGGAACTTAGAATGCGTCCCCCCACCTAGGATGAAGCTATTCGGCAATCAACAGTTAGAATGCCTCCAAGGACATATGTTTTTTTCCAGGCAGAAACACATATATATCCTAGACCCTCCAAGTCACCATAAAAAATGTAGTTTACCACATAATTTTCATAGTTTTAGCAATTGTTCAGGGTATTTGGAGGCTCTGGGTATATGAATGTACCTGTTTGAGAATATCACATTATTTTTTGTGCACTTTGCAGGTCTGCGTACTTTTACTCGCTTTCCCCATTCGATAACCTTGGCAAAAGTGAGTTTCCCGTACAAAAATTGCGATTTTGGACACATACCTGAGGTAGATAGGCTTCTGGGAAAAGAGGACACACCCAGCCACTAATGGTGTTGAACAAACAGTGAGATTGTGGCTTTAGTAAAGGATCCCCATCATTGATAAATACCTTTTTTTTTTAATCTCCTAGATGGGCCGCTAGCTGGAATGCCTGTAACTGTCACTGATTGGGAAAGATATTTATATGTAGTTTTTTTAACGGCAAAACTGGAAAATTGCATTTTACCAGCATTTCAGAACCTAGAATGCCTTCCCCCACCTAGGATGAAGCTATTCGGCAATCAACAGTTAGAATGCCTCCAAGGACATATGTTTTTTTTTCCAGGCAGAAACACATATATATCCTAGACCCTCCAAGTCACCATAAAAAAGGTAGTTTACCACATAATTTTCATAGTTTTAGCAATTGTTCAGGGTATTTGGAGGCTCTGGGTATATGAATGTACCTGTTTGAGAATATCAGATTATTTTTTGTGCATTTTGCAGGTCTGGGTAAAGATTCCATGGAAAGTTTCAATGAACCAACGGGCAGCCCAAAGGCACTTTTACTCGCTTTCCCCATTCGATAACCTTGACAAAAGTGAGTTTCCCGTACAAAAATTGCGATTTTGGACACATACCTGAGGTAGATAGGCTTCTGGGAAAAGAGGACACACCCAGCCACTAATGGTGTTGAACAAACAGTGAGAATGTGGCTTTAGTAAAGGATCCCCATCATTGATAAATACCTTTTTTTTATCTCCTAGATGGGCCGCTAGCTGGAATGCCTGTAACTGTCACTGATTGGGAAAGATATTTATATGTTTTTTTTTTAAACGGCAAAACTGGAAAATTGCATTTTACCAGCATTTCAGAACCTAGAATGCCTTTTTTCACCTAGGATGAAGCTATTCGGCAATCAACAGTTGGAATGTCTCCAAGGGTATATTTTTTCCAGGCAGAAACAAATATATATCCTAGACCCTCCAAGTCACCATAAAAAAGGTAGTTTACCACATAATTTTCATAGTTTTAGCAACTTTTCAGGGTATTTGGAGGCTCTGGGTATAAGAATGTACCTGTTTGAGAATATCAGATTATTTTGTGTGCATTTTGCAAGTCTGGGTAAAGATTCAATGAAAAGTTTCAATGAACCAACAGGCAGCCCAAAGGCACTTTTACTCGCTTTCCCCATTCGATAACCTTGACAAAAGTGAGTTTCCCGTACAAAAATTGCGATTTTGGACACATACCTGAGGTAGATAGGCTTCTGGGAAAAGAGGACACACCCAGCCACTAATGGTGTTGAACAGACAGTTAGAATGCGGCTTTAGTAAAGGATCCCCAACATTGATAAATACCTTTGTTTTATCTCCTAGATGGGCCGCTAGCTGGAATGCCTGTAACTGTCACTGATTGGAAAAGATGTTTATATGTTTTTTTAAACGGCAAAACTGGAAAATTGCATTTTACCAGCATTTCAGAACTTTGAATGCCTCCCCCCCCACCTAGGATGAAGTTATTCGGCAATCAGCAGTTAGAATGCCTCCAAGGGCATATTTTTTTCCAGGCAGAAACGCATATATATCCTAGACCCTCCAAGTCAACATAAAAAAGGTAGTTTACCACATAATTTTCATAGTTTTAGCAATTTTTTGTGGGTATTTGGAGGTTCTGGGTATATGAATGTACCTGTTTGAGAATATCACATTATTTTTTGTGCACTTTGCAGGTCCTGGGTTACTTTTACCACACTAACACTTTTGCTCGCTTTTCCGATACACCTTGACAAAAGTGAGTTTCGGGTACAAAAATTGCGATGTTGGAACCCAATACTGAAGGTAGATAGGCTTCTGGAAAAGAGGACACCACCGCCGCCAATATTGTGTTGGAACCCAGTTAGAATGTGGCTTTGTAAAGGATCCCCCATCATTGAATAAATACCTTTTGTTTTATCTCCCTGATGGTCCGTAGCTGGAATGCCTGTCAACTGTCACTGATTGGAAAAGATGTTTATATGTTTTTTTTAAACGGCACAACTGGAAAATTGCATTTTCCAGCATTTCAGAAACTTTGAATGCCCCCCCCCCACCTAGGATGAAGCTATTCGGCAATCAACAGTTAGAATGCCTCCAAGGACATATGTTTTTTCCAGGCAGAAACACATATATATCCTAGACCCTCCAAGTCACCATAAAAAAGGTAGTTTACCACATAATTTTCATAGTTTTAGCAATTTTTCAGGGTATTTGGAGGCTCTGGGTATATGAATGTACCTGTTTGAGAATATCACCTTATTTTTTGTGCACTTTGCAGGTCTGGGTACTTTTACTCGCTTTCCCCATTCGATAGCCTTGACAAAAGTGAGTTTCGGGTACAAAAACTGCGATTTTGGACACATACCTGAGGTAGATAGGCTTCTGGGAAAAGAGGACACACCCAGCCACTAATGGTGTTGAACAGACAGTTAGAATGCGGCTTTAGTAAAGGATCCCCATCATTGATAAATACCTTTGTTTTACCTCCTAGGTGGGCCGCTAGCTGGAATGCCTGTAACTGTCACTGATTGGAAAAGATGTTTATATGTTTTTTTTAAACGGCAAAACTGGAAAATTGCATTTTACCAGCATTTCAGAACTTTGAATGCCTCCCCCCCACCTAGGATGAAGCTATTCGGCAATCAGCAGTTAGAATGCCTCCAAGGGCATATTTTTTTTTCCAGGCAGAAACGCATATATCCTAGACCCTCCAAGTCACCATAAAAAAGGTAGTTTACCACATAATTTTCATAGTTTTAGCATTTTTTCAGGGTATTTGGAGGTTCTGGGTATATGAATGTACCTGTTTGAGAATATATATATATACATATACTTGGTTGTGCAGACAATTGTACCCCACAACCCATGTGTTCCCTCAAGGTTCCCTGGTGTTTTTCTGGAAACATACATACTTGGTATGTATATAGAAAGTTTTTTTGAAAACATGATGCAAACCCACTGCGCCGCATTCTAAGTTTACGAAAAAGGGACACTTGAAAACCTGGCGCGCATTCTAAGTTTCAGTCCGTCAGTATATATATATATGTATGTATACAGATACATATATACACGTTGCCCACCCATTCAAGGTTAGCCACGAGGCATGTCCATCCTTGCCGGCGCTGCTCAGGGCCGCAGATCGACATCAGTTGGCCTGAGATGCCGGTGACCATGGATGCTGCAAACCGCGAGTGTGACTGCAGCGCGCGGCCACGGCTGGTGTCATTTCAAGGTTGGGGGATGTTCCGGGGAGCATGCCGTAGAAGGTGGCAAGGTGGGCGGTGTACCTTTTTTTATTTTGAAACGTATACGTTTTAATCCCTTCCTCCTAATACTAAACCCCCCCCCCCAATACAAAACACGGCAGGTAGTTTTTAGTATTAGGGGGGTATTTATTATTAGGGAACCAAATCGAAGTCATGTTAATTAGTTATTCATGCATTAGAATGGAGGAAGGGATTATTCATTTTATACAGATTTCTAAGTAATTCTAATTAATTAATTAGATGCATAATTATGTATATAATTATAAGTGTATATATATAATCAATTCATTCGTGTATAATTATGTAGTAATTATTCATGAGGGCTTCATGATGGCTACAAATAAGTAAATAGATGTACAATCAATTAATTATATGTGTATATGTAATTAGTAATCATGAGGGTTTTCATAATTATGCTGCCAATAAGATTTATTTGGCAGATAATTAGAATCCATAATATTAGGGAACCAAAGTGGGAACCAATGTTGAATTTATGTTTTTAAGGATTATATAGGAGGAGGGAATTAATTATTCATTGTATAAAGATCCTTATAATTGTCCAGTTTTTTTTCCAGCGGCTCAGGTCCACAGACAGCTAGCCTCCATTGTGTGCTGGTTCAAGCAAAAAAAAGCGAGGCAGAACAAAGCCAGTCAGTAGTAAGGGCAAACAGACGGGCAGTAATGGCAGCCGCGCAGCCAGTCCAAGCAGTTGCTGAGCCAGCTGCCCAGCAGCCAGTCACTCAGCCTGAGGGAGCGCAGCCAGACCAGCAAGTGCAGGCAGCTCAGCAAGCAGCCCTGGCAGCAGAGGCAGCAGCTTGGCAGCAGACAGACAGTTGAATTAATTAGAGCAGTTGCATTGGAATCAGTTGTGCAGCCAGTTTCATGGATGGATAGATAATTAGTTAGATAGATAGATAGATAGATAGATAATTAGATAATTAGATGGATAGATAGATAGATAATTAGATAGATAATTAGATAGACAATTAGATAGACAGATAGATAGAATACAGGCAGGTCCCCCCAATACTAAGCACCAGACCTTAGTACTAATTAAAAACTACTTCATCTCCTTGCATTTACCTTTCTAATTAAAGTTCTTACTAAAACTGCTGCTTCTGTGCTGCCAGGCTAGCTCCAGGCAGGTTCTCCCTAACACTAAGCACCAGACCTTAATACTAAAAACTACTTCATCTCCTTGCATTTACCTTTCTAAAGTCCTTACTAAAACTGCTGCTTCTGTGCTGCCAGGCCAGCTCCAGGCAGGTTCTCCCTAATACTAAGCACCAGACCTTAATACTAAAAACTACTTCACCTCCTTGCATTTCCCTTTCTAAAGTCCTTACTAAAACTGCTGCTTCTGTGCTGCCAGGCGAGCTCCAGGCAGGTTCTCCCTAATACTAAGCACCAGACCTTAATACTAAAAACTACTTCACCTCCTTCCATTTCCCTTTCTAAAGTCCTTACTAAAACTGCTGCTTCTGTGCTGCCAGGCTAGCTCCAGGCAGGTTCTCCCTAATACTAAGCACCAGACCTTAATACTAAAAACTACTTCACCAGCTGGTATTTCCCTTTCTAAAGTTCTTACTAAAACTGCTGCTTCTGTGCTGCCAAGCTAGCTCCAGGCAGGTTCTCCCTAATACTAAGCACCAGACCTTAATACTAAAAACTACTTCACCTCCTTCCATTTCCCTTTCTAAAGTCCTTTCTAAAACTGCTGCTTCCGTGCTGCCAGGCCTAGCTCCAGGCAGGTTCTCCCTAATACTAAGCACCAGACCTTAATACTAAAAACTACTTCACCTCCTTCCATTTCCCTTTCTAAAGTCCTTACTAAAACTGCTGCTTCTGTGCTGCCAGGCTAGCTCCAGGCAGGTTCTCCCTAATACTAAGCACCAGACCTTAATACTAAAAACTACTTCACCTCCTTCCATTTCCCTTTCTAAAGTCCTTACTAAAACTGCTGCTTCTGTGCTGCCAGGCTAGCTCCAGGCAGGTTCTCCCTAATACTAAGCACCAGACCTTAATACTAAAAACTACTTCACCTCCTCCATTTCCCTTTCTAAAGTCCTTACTAAAACTGCTGCTTCTGTGCTGCCAGGCTAGCTCCAGGCAGGTTCTCCCTAATACTAAGCACCAGACCTTAATACTAAAAGCTACTTCACCTCCTTCCATTTCCCTTTCTAAAGTCCTTACTAATACTGCTGCTTCTGTGCTGCCAGGCTAGCTCCAGGCAGGTTCTCCCTAATACTAAGCACCAGACCTTAATACTAAAAACTACTTCACCTCCTTCCATTTCCCTTTCTAAAGTCCTTACTAAAACTGCTGCTTCTGTGCTGCCAGGCTAGCTCCAGGCAGGTTCTCCCTAATACTAAGCACCAGACCTTAATACTAAAAACTACTTCACCAGCTGGCATTTCCCTTTCTAAAGTCCTTACTAAAACTGCTGCTTCTGTGCTGCCAAGCTAGCTCCAGGCAGGTTCTCCCTAATAGTAAGCCCCAGACCTTAATACTAAAAACTACTTCACCAGCTGGCATTTCCCTTTCTAAAGTCCTTACTAAAACTGCTGCTTCTGTGCTGCCAAGCTAGCTCCAGGCAGGTTCTCCCTAATAGTAAGCACCAAACCTTAATACTAAAAACTACTTCACCAGCTGGCATTTCCCTTTCTAAAGTCTTTACTAAAACTGCTGCTTCTGTGCTGCCAAGCTAGCTCCAGGCAGGTTCTCCCTAATAGTAAGCACCAGACCTTAATACTAAAAACTACTTCACCTCCTTCCATTTCCCTTTCTAAAGTCCTTACTAAAACTGCTGCTTCTGTGCTGCCAGGCTAGCTCCAGGCAGGTTCTCCCTAATAGTAAGCACCAGACCTTAATACTAAAAACTACTTCACCCCCTTCCATTTCCCTTTCTAAAGTCTTTACTAAAACTGCTGCTTCTGTGCTGCCAGCCTAGCTCCAGGCAGGTTCTCCCTAATACTAAGCACCAGACCTTAATACTAAAAACTACTTCACCTCCTTCCATTTCCCTTTCTAAAGACTTTACTAAAACTGCTGCTTCTGTGCTGCCAGGCTAGCTCCAGGCAGGTTCTCCCTAATAGTAAGCACCAAAGAATTTAGAACCCCCAGTAAATCCATTTTTACTTTCATCCCATTAGTTATACACATATCTCCTCCTACATCCACCTCCTATTTTAATTAATTACTTGACATTGACAAATAAATAAATAAAAAAAATATATATATATATACACCAACACAAACCCCTCCATCTTTATCTCGACAGCACTCTCCCAGGACAGCTGGCTGTCTATGCAGGCAGACGTAGACAGGCACAAAGAGCAGACAGAGAGTTGGCAGGACTGGATGGCAGTCGTGAAAGGCAGCTGGATCTGTAAAGCCAGACAGGCAGGTCCTCCTTTCAGCTGGTTGATGCTTTGCTGCCGAGACAGCTAGACAGCCAGAGGAGCAAGGAGACAGAGGGGCAGGCTGGAATCTTGAATAATTAGTAAAGTAATTTCTTAATTACATGGGTCACCTTCTAAATAATTACCAATAGTTGCTGTTGTTTTAATGGGAAATATAAATTCAAGATTCCAGCCAGCCCTCAGACAGAACCTGGCAAAGCATGGAGCTCAGCCAGACAGTGAGCTCCAGGCAAGCGGCATGGAAAGCTGGCTAGAATCTTTAATGGGGATTGTTATTCATTAATTACTCCTAAAACCTTTACAACATAACCATAATCAATTAAATTTCTGGGATTCAATTATAAATTAAAGATTCTAGCCAGCTCAGACAGAAAGGCAGCCAGCTAAGGATGCGTAGGCAGCTAGACAGCCAAGAAGTACAGCCAGGAAGTACAGCCAGGAAGTACAGTGGCTGGAGTCTTGAATTTTTTTTTAACCCCCTAAAATTAAGGGAAACCCTTAACATAGGTGTTTATGGGATCTTCAAAATTCAAGACTCCAGCCAGCTCAGAAAGACCTTGCAGGCAGCAAGGCATGAGGGGTGGCTTTCAGGCAGCCAGACAGCGTGGTGTCAGCAAAACATGCAGGCAGCTAGACCAGCCAGGCAGCTTGGATTTGGGGAGTAGGACTAGCCCCCCTAATACTAAACACCCCGGGATGAATTAGTTTTTAGTATTAGGGGGGAGAACCACAAATGGTAGGTTGATTTTTGAATTGTTTTTTAAAGGGGATCAATTAAAAGTCAAATTGGCCAAACTGAAATTTTCGGAAATTGGAGATGGATGCCTGTTTTTAGTATTAGGGGGACGTTTAGTATTAGGAGGAAGGGATTAATGTATATATAGACATCTACACAATATTTTTGTTTCATTGTTACAAAATAAGTTTTGTCTATGTAATTTTTCCGTCAGGTTCTCCGTCAGGTTCTCCTGAGGAGCCATCCTAGTTTGGCAGTCGGCCTCTTAAAGCGTGCTGGGTCTGCTTGCGCGCATTTTTTTTGACTGATAAATTGCTAGCCTTCCTTCATATAGGTATGGACTTAAAAAATGCAATCTGGATCTGATGTCGTTGCCAAGCCCAAGGTAAGATGGCAGTGGGCACAAGAACTTACAGTCAAAGCTGATGAGTTCTACATTACCACACCATTAGCCAGCGCAGTAAAAACACCGGCCCTTTGTCCTCACAACGGAGTACTTTCAACCTGCCACGGAATTTACTTAAAGGACAGGTCAGTTTTGCAGGTAACTTTGTCAAAAAGGAATGCAACTTGCAATGGTGATTTACTCTGGAAAGTTGATGGGTTTGGACCCAAATTCCCTATCCAAGGAACAAGATACATAAGTCAGTTTAGTTCCACTCTTTCAATGTGTATCCTGTGTTTCCACATAGCTGCTCGGAGCGGCCCTCGACACTTGCTAGGCGCAGGCACGCGGAAGGTGCGACACACGCTGCAGGAATTGCACGATGGCGAGGAAATTGCACGGGGCTCAGGAGTGTTGATTAACGTGTCTTAGTTTTCACGTTTTAGGAATGTGGATTATTTAAAAATTTGGATGTGGATTACTTGCTAAACTTTGTCTTTTGTCTTAGCTGGTGCTTTCCATGTCGATCATGTACCAAGTGCTTAAGAGTAATATCCATGTTGTAATTCAGCTATAATATATATAGATAGATAGAGAGAGAGATATATATATATATATATATATTTACACATTTAAATTATCTGTATATATGTGGTGCATATTGCATACTTGTTACGTTGAAAAGGCCTTATACAATGTATACGACAGGGACTTAACATGACTTAAACATCACCAAAGAACTCCACCATCCAAAATTGGAAAACATGAAATAGTTGGAATGTTCATGGCGTCCGAAGTTTAGACGAACGTGAACCACGGCGTCCGGAGGGTGATTTTCCGCACTTGGATTTGACCACTTTCAGGTTCGACATCGAGCTGGTGGGTGTAACCTCCCCTCCGATTGGCATAGACTTTCGCAACCGTACCTGTCATGAACATCTCTTGTTGATATTCAAACCGACAGAAAAATTATGTAAGAAAGGACACGTTAAAATCCTTTTTTTTGTTTGTGCGAACATAGAACCGGCCAGAGGGGGTTCATCCAGGGATATCACTTCCGACATCTGAGGCACATACAATTACAATTTGTTTTTTGATATTGGTGTCCCCCAAAAAATGGCAATGTTGGTTGGTACCAGCAACGGCATCGACCCCCATGTGCCAGCGGGATGATGTTGCATATGCCGCAGTTGTAGCTGCTTTCTGGTTTTCAACACCATTTCAGCAACATTGCCAGCTTTGGTTATATCTCTTATAGCAACAGCACACTGCGTTTTTGTGAGGTGCTTCATTAGCCCAAACTGGCATCACCAAACCCCAACAATTTCGGATGCTAGATTATGGAGCAATTTTCTTGGTGATACCCACGGATGAAGAGATTAGGCGACAAAACGGCCAGCCCATTTTAAATGGACCTCGAATGTTGAAACACCACATTGGATCTAGGACACATTTGAATATATAACGGTTCAAAAGTGCATTCAAAACTTCAAAACCCACCAGATGTTCAATCCATGAACGTGTTTTTTCCCGTTGGCATCGTTGTTCACATGGTAAAACCAACTGCACGATCACAGCAAGGTCGTGCACGTGGTAGATGTTTCGATGCTTGGCCTTTTGCTATGCGCGTTTCGGGTCACAAAGTGAAGACATTGAAAAATTGAAGGCCCATGCTTGGACTCACAATCATTTCCGTCACTTCTGCTATGGAAGGATCCGTTCTCAGGCCACACTGTGATCGATGTTGGTTACTGGTTCCTTTGTTGATTCATTAGGTATAAAATGTGGAGAAATGTGGAGAAGTGGGTTCGATTCCCCCCTTGTGCCGTTTGAGTCGAGTCATCCAGCGGTAAGCCCGAAGTTATGCTCCACCTACCGTTTGGCCGAGTTTGGGATGGCTTGACAATCAAGGTTCATTAATTTGGTACAGTGTGGTAAACACATGAGTTTCACTACTCTGGTGTCTCCGGTGGCTCTTTGAACGTGATGAGCTTGGCAACAATGATGAGCTGGTGCTGGCAGACGGTACTTTTTTGGTGATCCGGGCTTCACCGGGTATATCTATTGTAACACCAGCTGCCTGAGTTTTTGAGGCAGTTTATACGATTTGACAGCCGCCAGCCATTAATAGTGGGCATTCAATCATTATTATTCAACGGCCCCTGAAGGCGACTCCTCAATAATGAGAAGGTATGCCAGGCTTGTATACTACTTGTCACTACCACCAACCAATTGGTCTATTTATCATGTGGTGTCACGTTGGGGGGATCGGGGGTCTTCACATTTCAGCGTTTGACTGTCAGGAAGAGCTCGTTGAATACCACAGATGCGCGGTGGAATCTGAGCCATCCAATCAAGCAACCGTCCCTTGGTTACAGAGCACAGCATGCAGTTTACTTGGGGGCATACAGGAATGTAAATAATCCTGGCATAAAACATGGATTATTTTCCAAAAAAATGAATAAAATTACCGGATGCCAAGAAGGCCTGTAGCAATTGGTTCACCTCAATATACCGAACGAATTCTAGACGGAAGGGGGGAAAAATAGGAAAGGGATTGTCGCTTTCCACCTTTTCAAATTGATCCGAAGTGAAAGGCAGCACCATGATCAGGTATGCCAATCTCATGTGGGAAAGTGACTTTGCCTTGGCTCCTGCAGGCAAGGAAAATTCCCCGTTTCTGGTGGTTCCATCAAGGATGCATCAACTGTTGCTTTGCCCATGAATTTGAACCTTGAAAAGTTGACGCGGGAGATGTATTTTAAGGATGCTAAGCGCCTTTACATTCTTGAATGATCGAATACAATCAGTGAAGCGGAAGATCTTTACATTGGTGTCGGAATGCCACTGCACAAAGTGAATCGCTCTGAAAATTAAATAAGGGGTATGCAGGAGTCGTGCTTCCATTTGAGTAATCCATCTGAAAATCAACAAATCAGGGATACTTCACTCGCAGTGTTCCCTCTCGGCATAGACCTTCAGACATCCCGCGTGGCAGACGTAGCCAGGTCACACCCAGTGCTCTTTACGTCTCTATGAGCTGGGCACCTCAGGGGTGGATTGCGCAACCATGGCTCCAAATACCATATCATGGGGCAACATATTGGGATGACTCCATCAGTAACTTCATATATATATATACACATACAGTATATATTGTTTATATAATATTATATAGTATATATATAATATGTTTATTATTTATACGTATGATTATATATATATATATATATAAAAACTTGATAGATGTCAATTACATATATAAATATATATATATCATATATATATATGATACATGTATGTTTTCCAATATATATACAATGGTCGTGGTTTTAGCTTGCAGCTGGGATTTATCTGTGACAATAGTATGGGGAAAGTACTGCATGATGAGTAGTAACTGGTTAATCGCTATGGTTACTGTGCGGGTCTAGCGGTATCCAACTACTTTTTGATATTTTAAATATATATGGTAGTTTCCCAAAAGAAGGGAATACATTTTAAGAAGTTGGGTTTACTCAACCGGTCCATCCTGTTTTGTGAAGATTTTGTCGCCAATCATGTGGTGCCATTATAGTTCTTGACCTGTTACAGGCGAGCAAGTGCAGAACAGCCATGGGTCCTCCCACATTCATGCTGTCAGTATCAGCCCCAGATCAATATTTTTGCATAATGTTCACCATGTGTAGGATGGGATGGGGTATTCAAAACTCATAGGATTGTTGGAACGGATTGTTTCAAGGAAACCTTTGCAAATTTGGGTGCAAGAACCGCATGTTTTTTTGGATACAGTACATTTGCATTCCAGGGATTGCTGATTAATTATCCTACATATCCTACATTGTCGGCTGAGTCGGCTGAGGTTCCGCATTTATACCACCACAATCCAATCAAATCCAAGTGGGGTGTATCACTATATTCCATATGTTTCCATACTCATACCACTACGTATATTCCCAGACCATATATACCACTATTCATTAAAAACAATATATAGCAATATATTCAGATCATATTTTCCATAGCGTTTCTGTCGCGACGTTTCAGGATCATGTCCTTCTGCACTATCCCCGTGATCCTGGCCGATGCACCTGGGGCCAGTTTTACCGGAGCGTTTTTGTTTTTCCATGGTGAGGGGTAACTCAAGCAGAACAACATACAGCCAGTCATAAAGACGAAAAAAATATGATTGCGCATTTAAACTCATGATTTGTTCATAGCTTCAATCATCCGATCATCATCAGGCATGCCAAAATGAATGCACATTCAATTGGTGAATATCTCACGGCTTTTTAGTACGCCCACACCTGGGTGCAGGACGTCTTGGGTCAACCATTTGATTGGCAGCGGTTCCCTGCGCATGAGATGTTGGTTCCAATCGGCTTTCAATTTTTGTTGGACAGGCCGGCTCGACCGGCTCGACCAGCAAATATCTGAGGAAAAACTCCTTCCCTTCAGTGAGATTCTCAATTGGTCTGAGCCCCTTGGCAGCAGGAATGGTCCATCCATGGATGTTCTTCATGGTCATTGGGATAATGCCTCTCCATAAGGTAGATTTGGACAAACAAATTCATTGCCCAGCGGTTAATTCAATCAGCTGGTTCTCTTGTTCTCGCGACTATGATGGTGACTTTCAACATTCCATCCGCGTAAGACATGGCCAAACTTGGCAAGGTGTCAGCTGCACCATGGCCATGGCACGTTGCTTTCAACCCACAACCAGCCCGGGTTTCATCACATGCCCTGTGTTGGTGAGCGCCGTGGCGAACAACATCAGTGACGAAGTTCGAAGACAAATTCAACACGAAAGCATCCTAGAACTTCTTGATTTGACCAAGAAGGTGCCGGTGGCTGGTCATGGATGGTGCTACTGAACATGCCGACATCTTCTCTGCCAGCCCAGCTCTTCACTGACAGGTGTGGGAGTCAAAGCTCTTCGTCCAATCATGTTTTTCCACACCTGCCACCTTCCTTCCTTCCTTCTTCCTTCCTGCTTCGTCGTCTCCTCCTCCTCCTGGCTTGCTGCACTTGCTGCACTCGCTCGCAAATGGCCAGCTCCGGATGCTATGGGGCACGAACAGCACATTGCCAGCTCCGGATGCTGTGGGGCACGCCTGGGCCCGAACACCATATCGCCATAAGCCTTGGTATTTGCGAATCAGCCACATGACAGGTTCAGTGCAGCGGTGCCGTTTGAAGTGGAAAAAAAGGCCGTGGACGTGATTGCCATTCTCTTGTTTGTCGTTGTCTGGCTGCACACTTGGAATCTGAACAGTGGGTCTAAACCGCCAGAGTGGGGATGACTCGAAGTAAAGCAATGTTTTTTTCACCCCGCAAAGTCATCTCCTTTGCCGCTGAGACATCTTATGTGGTTCCCAGTGCTAAAGGGATGAGGACAGATTTGATTTTTCCAAGAACAGCTTGCCGCAAGCATCCAATGAGGTTTCAAAGCGCTTTGCAAGCAGTTGTTGCTAGCTAGTCAGTTGTATAGCTGGTCACCATGGCAATCACGATTTCATATCACACCATGTTAATGCATACAACAATTTTGCCGACTGACTCTATTGTATCCCATCATATCCGAAGTATCATCGGGGCTCAAGCACCCTCCAAGGCTGAAACCCCCAACTACAGCCCGAGAGTTGGTTAAGAATCCGAAAGCTTGAGGCCCAGGGTCCCTCAAATTCTTTTTTTTTTAATGCAGTCAAATTTCCACCACAGTAGGTCGAGGTTCCTTTAAATTTCTAGAGCATTCTTAGTTATGTATTGTGTGCATCTGCGCAATTTGCGCAATTTGGAGCGAGCTAAAGCGACGTAACGAGGTGGAGTTGGCAGATTTGACAAGAGACATACGGAAAAAAAAACAAACATTTTTTTAGATCCTGAAAATTTGTTTTTCTTGAAAGCCGGGCTTGTCTGAGTTTCATAAGAGCAGTGCTGAAAATATGTAGCCCGCCTTTGATTATGGCCCCTCAAATTCTTATACAGTGAATTCTTGTACAATACTCAAGCTGCAGAAGGGTGTCTTAAAGTAGGAGTTTGTTAGCCACTTCTTCACGGCCCAGGCGAATTTTGACCATCGGGTGAGGGCTCAGCTATGCGGTTGGTTTCTACTTTCCATATACATATATAATTAATAATTAATCATATATATAGATCAACGGGCTAGTTGAATTTTCATTTATTGTTCATACAGCTACGGGCATTTATTCGTTATAACTGGTTATAAGTGGGCTTATACATTCAAGAAATGGGGTCATAAGTACTTATAACTGGTAAAGGGCCATAACTGTACCCCAGATTATGACAGCTATAGTCCACAAAATATTCCAATGCTCCATCAATTAAAATTCCACTGAGCTTGCCACAATCTGGATAAATTATAACGACCTTACTGCGACGTCACTGGGCAGGTGGGAATCGTTAGAAGAAACTATCTCAAAATAGCCGAAGTATTCCGGTTAGAGAATTACTATAATTCAGCAATATCCATAATTGTAAAAACTTGGCTCGTAACTCACCTGCATTGTGTAGTGTCATTCAATAGTATTTAGTGCCAGACTCCGGATGAATAAAACATCAGTTTTTTTTTGGATTTGTGGTACGATTAAAGCATCATCACTATTTAAGGGAAGTCCCCCATTAAATTCACCATGTTAGTCCTGAGTTGCGAGTTGCCCAGGATGGCTGTGCTGGTGCCCGAGAAGGTGCCGGACGTGCGGTCTAGAAGTAGCAGGTGATCACTTGTTGGCCAAAAAAATGATGCTCTACCGATCTTGGTTTGCTTGATGGTAGTTATTCCCAAATCATGTCGTGGACACTTTGGAGCGGCGATATGGTTTGATTTTAGTGGGAGAACAAAAAGATGAACAGTTCTGTGCCATAAAAAAATCAACTCACTTTTTTACCATTGGGCTCCAGTGGGTTTAATGCTGTTGTGTCTTGCATGATTTTCCTTCAGCTCACTGGATGTCCACAAGGAAATCCAGCCTTTGCAGTTATGAGCACCTCAGTCACCAATGACCCTGCGAAGTCCCACCTGATTGGTTTCATAGGGACCACCAGCCCAGCCCATTGTTGTTTGGGGTTAAACATCCAGATCTCTATTGGGGAACTTCTGGCGTTTCATCACTCATTGTTCCCAATTGTTTGTTGTTAAGCCAGATTTTGGAAATTTTAAGTTTTTTTCCATATTTCCTAGCGGATCCACACTAATAAATCATGCCAGATCATCAACTATCATCCCAAGTAGGGGCGTGCCGCCAACGCACCGAATGTCATGCGTCACACATTGGCTTCGCAGATGGCCCATTTGAAATAACCCCATCACATGACCTATTACATCCTATTACACTTATAATACCTCATTGATGACGTCTAGCATAGCGATTGATGACAAGCATGAACCTGTGGCTAGTCATTTGATTATACCCCACCTTTAGGGTCAGAGTGTCCGGAAGTTTTCATTGGGTAAAAGTTAGTGGGTCAGCGAAGTGCCAAGGAGAAGTTCCTACAAGTAGGCTATCCCACTCATAGCTGGGGTACTTGGGTGTGCATCCCCGGCACCGTAAGTTGTTTTTGAGTCCTATGCCTTTTGCAACCATATGTAACTCATATACAACGGGGGTACAATATGGTTTTTACATGTTTTTACCCACTTACAATCTGGGATGCACCCCCAGAAGGTTGTGCCCCGAAGTTGGAAATCGGAACTTCTATTCAGTATGTCGCTATATTTATCATAAACCCAACAGTGATTGGAATAAAAAACAACATATAGCTCAGTATGACCACTACGGGGGCACCATTTTTATCCTCATATTTTCAATGGTTGATGATCATGTTCTTTCAAAAATGGCCGTACTTCAAAGATTACCACCAATTTATATAACAATATTTTCCACCAATTTATGGAATTTTATTGTTGTATAATTGCAAATTACCACATTTTTTTGGATAGTAATATGCATGGTATAACCCCACTTACTACAGTTATGGCCCGAAATACCAGTTATAAGTACTAAACAAACCACATTTATAGAATGTATATCATCCCATAGAAATAACCAGTTACAACGAGAATAAATGGCCATATAACTGTACCAAGGTACTTCCACGCGATGCTCGGCCAGGAAGCCCTGTCCATCCCCATGCGGTTGCGTAGCATCGACCCTGCGACGCGTTGCGCAATGCGGCGCAAGGCCCATGAGGCGCTGAATTTTGGGTGCAAAAACCATAGTTGGTTGGTGGTTTGGAAGATGGTTTTTATTTTTCCATATATTGGGAATAATAATCCCAACTAACTCATAATTATTTTTCAGAGGGATTGAAACCACCAACCAGATAGAAATGTGGCAGTTTTCAACACGTTTTAATCTGGAATAATTTGGAAAAATCTGGATAATATGAAAACATTCTATGTTTTATTGGGAAAAACGAAATAAAACGCTTTGAAACCACTTCATGGGACCATTGGGGTGTTAGCCGGGACATGAGTTTCAGTTGGTTTAGCATTTTTTTCCTTGGTTTATGATCCTTTCGTAGGAAGTTAAATCTTAAGGCAGGATTCTTAGGTATATTAATTAATCTGGTTGCTGCTCATGTATAGCTGTTTCCGTCCTAATTTCAGCTGGGTCATCAAGTGTAGAGTTTCCAGGTACCATTTGCAGATAGTGTCGTTTGCTGCCAGAACTGATTGATGCCACGTTGCCAGCGGGTGACCAGCCTGCTGCAGGCATTCCACAGATACTTTGCAAATGTTTGGACCTTGGATCATACTGGCAGGGGACGCTTAGTGCGAATTAGATGGGCACCGGCATAATGTATACATACCCACTTGGTGGTTCATCCCACTTAAAGATTTGCTAAGTAGGTTAAATCCCAGGTTACAAGTGGGAGAAGTAGGGTTAATCCACTCAAAGCCAGGGATACAGCCCACTCAGTAAGTGGGATGAGCCACCAAGTACGAATAAGCGAATAAGCCATCACAACCTTTACCAGGCATCGCTTGTGTAAAGTGTAAACCATCCCCCCAATCGGAGGTTTATTTTTTCTACTGAGTTTACCACGTAACAAAACACAATCCGCAAAAAGTTGTTTTCTGTATTTGGAACCACGGCCAGCTGAGGGAGGGGAAACTGGCAATCTTGGAGTGAATGGACAGACGATCGGCAGGCTGCAGCCAATTCCCACGTTCTACAAGGTGCTGGACACGAATGGCTCATGCACGTCCTGGCAATGAGGGCTGCCACATCAGCACTGGAAAGGACTGCGTGGTCACCTCAGGAGCTGCAGGTATCTTTTTTAACAACGGTGGAGCATGTGGAGCGGTCAATCTGCGGTGCCCTGCACCTTAAGTTTTCACTGATACTCCCCCCGGTTTCCATTTGTTGTGGATTTGTTTCGGAGTTTATACCGAAGCTAGCCAGCCGCAGCTCAAATATCTAATTAGTATCATTGGAAGTCACATATGTTATATGGATGATTTTTGGAACCCCAACAAAAGGATCGAACAAAACAGTGGAACCGACGACAAAATAGTTATAGCTTGCTGTCTCTATCTCTTTTGGCGTTGCTATATAACAATCTTGAAGTAGATAGAACATTGTTTCTTGAACAATGTATAAATATATACCGACCGGCCGAAAGATAGAATATTTTTCACTACCAGACACGCGAGTGAGAAAATTACCATCGGCCTCCCACTCAAAAAAAACACCACAAGATAGAATATTAATATAGAATATTCACAAATAGTCACAGAACACCCCCTTGAATATTCTATCTTGTCAATTTCGTGCATGCCTGTGCAGAAACCTTTGAAACTACTGATGATGTTTGAAGCAACAGGGTGCTATGGTGAAATGACGTTAAACAAATTCAGCTTTGGGATTGCCAACAATTCTAAATCCAACATGTTCCAATATGGAAACACCCCCTTGAATATTCTATCTTGTCAATTTCGTGCATGCCTGTGCAGAAAACTACTGATGATTTTTCAAGCAACAGGACGCCAAGTCAACATGCCAGAAAAAACAAGGAAACATGATGAAAAAGAGAGGAAAAAACAATGAACAATGATGAACAAAAGAGAGAACAAAAACAAGAAAACATGATGAAAAAGAGTGAAAAAAAACAATGAAACATGATGAAAACGAGAGAAAAAAACAAGGAAACATTATGAAAACTAGAGAAGCAACAATGAAAAATGATGAAAATAGAGGAAAAAACAATGAAACATGATGAAAAAGAGAGAGCAAACACTGAAAAATGATGAACAAAAGGACAAAAAGCAATGAAAGCTGATGAAAAAGAGAGAAACAAACAATGAAAAATGATGAAAAAGAGAGAACAAACAATGAAACATGATGAAAAAGAGAGAAAAAACACAATGAAAAAGGATGAAAACGAGAGAAACAACAATGAACAAGCATGAAAAATAGAGAAAAAACAATGAACAATGATGAAAAAGAGAGAACAACCAATGAAACATGATAAAAAAGATAGAAACACAATGAAAAATGATGAACAAGGGAGAAAAAGACAAGAAAAAATGATGAAAAAGAGCGAAAAAAACAATCAAACATAATGAAAAAGAGAGAAAAACACTAAAAAATGATGAAAAAACAGAGGCAAAAAACAATGAAAAATGAAGACCAAGAGAGAAAAAAACAAGAAACACTTATGAAAAAGAGTGACAAAAAATAAAACATGATGAAAAAGAGAAAAAAACAATGAAAAATGATGAAGAAGAGAGAAACAAAAACAATGAAAAATGATTAAAAATGATGAACGTGTTTTTTCATTGTTTTTTCTCTCTTTTTGATCTTTTTTCATTGTTTTTCTCTATTGTTCATCATTTTTCATTGTTGTTTCTCTATTGTTCATCATTTTTCATTGTTTTTGTTCATCTCTTTTTCATCATTTTTCATTGTTTTGTTCTTCTCTTTTTCATCATTTTTCATTGATTTTTCTTCTCTTTTTCATTATTTTTCATTTTTGTTTCTCTGTTTTTCATCATTTTTCATTGTTTTTCCTCTCGTTTTCATCATTTTTCATTGGTGCTTCTCTATTTTTCATCATTTTTCATTGTTGTTTCCTCTGTTTTTTTAAATGTTTCATTGTTTTTCCTTTGTTTCTCATCATTTTTGATTGTGTTTTCTCTATTCTTCATCATGTTTCCTGGTTTTTTCTCCCTTTTTCATCATGTTTCAAGTTTTTTTCCCACTCTTTATCATCAGTTTTTCTTGTTTGTTTCTTTCTTTTTCATCATTTTTCATTGTGTTTTTTCCCTCTTTTTCATCCTTTTGAGTGTTTTTTTTCTCTGCTTCATCATTTTCATTGTTTTGTTTCTATTTTTCATCATTTTCCACTGTTTTTTTCCATATTTTTAATCGGATTTCATTGTGTTCTCTCTTTTTCACCATTTTTCATTGTTTTTTTCCCTCTTTTTCATCCTTTTGAGTGTTTTTTTTTCTCTGCTTCATCATTTTCCATTGTTTTGTTTCTATTTTTCATCATTTTCCACTGTTTTTTTCCATATTTTTAATCGGATTTCATTGTTTTTCTCTGTTTCACCATTTTTCATTGTTTTTTCTCTCTTTTTCATCATGTTTCATTGTTTGTTCTCTCTTTTTCACAATGTGTTCTTGTTTTTGTTCTCTCTTGTTCATCATTTTTCATTTGTTTTTTCCCTCTTTTTCATCATTTTTCCTGTTTTTTTTCTATCTGTTTCATATTTTTTAATTGTTTTTTTCAGTATTGTTTATTGTTTTTCAATGTTTTTCAATTGTTTAATGTTATTTTTGAGCTTTTGATAAGGCTCAAAAATACGAAAACGGACAAGATAGAATATTTTCGAGACCCTAGCGTGACATGGCTCCAAATTCTATATTTGGAAGCCTTCCATTGCGTGGAAGTTTTTCCGTATGTTTCATTGTTTTTGCTATATTTTTCATATTCCTGGCGTATCAGATAAAACCAACAATTTTGCTAGGTAAATCCCAAAATATTCAGACTTGTTTCCACCACGTTTTGCGTTAAAACCGCAAATTGAGGGTGTGAGGTGCGACCACGCGGTGGGCCGGCAACAGCTGTGAATTGCGGGGAGGCATGGCACCAATTGACTTAAACCCAATAAAACCTATACAACCGCTATATTATATATATATATATGCACATAAGTATTGTGAAAATCAACATAAGAGCATTTCCACACACACAATGGAAAAAATCCAAGTAATTTGGAGCCATGTCACTCTAGGGTCTCGAAAATATTCTATCTTGTCCGTTTTCATATTTTTGAGCCTTATCAAAGCTCAAAGCATAACATTAAACAATTGAAAAACAAAGAAAAACAATGAAACATAATGAAAAAAAGTGAAAACCAATGAAATAAAAATGAAAAATACAACAAAGACAATGAAACATACGGAAAAAAATCCACGCAATGGAAGGCTTCCAAATATAGAATTTGGAGCCATGTCACGCCAGCCAGGGTCTCGAAAATATTCTATCTTGTCCGTTTTCATATGTTTGAGCCTTATCAAAAGCCCAAAAATAACATTAAACAATTGAAAAACAATAAAAAATAATGAAAAAAACAATGAACAATGATGAAACAAATAGAAAAAAAAAGAAAAATGATGAAAAAGAGAGAAAAAACAATGAAACATGATGAAAAAAGAGAGAAAAAAACAATGAAACATGATGAAAAATAGAGAAACAACAATGAAAAATGATGAAAAAGAGAGGAAAAAACAATGAACAATGATGAAAAATATAGGACAAAACAATGCAAAATGTTGAAAAATAGGGAAAAAAGGAAACATGATGAAAAATAGAGGGAAAAAACAATGAAAAATGATGAACAAGAGAGAAAAGCAAGAAGAAAACATGATGAAAAACAGTGAAAAGAACAATGAAACATGATGAAAAAGAGAGAAAAAACAAGGGAGCATGATGAACAATACATGAAAAAACAATGAAAACTGATGAACAAAAGAGAAAAAAACAAGAAAGCATGATGAAAAAGAGTGAAAAAACAATGAACCATGATGAAAAAGAGAGGAAAAAACAAGGAAACATGATGAAAAATAGAGTGACAACAATGAAAAATGATGAGACATAAAAAACAAAAACAATGAAACATGATGAAAAAGAGTTTAAAAAAAACAATGAAACATGATGAAAAAGAGAAGAAAAACAATTAACAATGATGAAAAAGAGAGAACAAACAATGAAACACGATGAAAAAGAGAGAAAAAACAATGAACAATGATGAAAAAGAGAGGGAAACACAATGAACAATGATGAAAAATAGAGAAACAACAATGAAAAATAATGAAAAATAGAAAAACAACAATGAAACACACAATGAAAAAATATGAAAAATAGAGAAACAAGAATGAACAATTATGAAAAAGAGAGGAAAAACCAATGAGAAATGATGAAAAAGAGAGGAAAAAACAATGAAACATGATGAAAAATAGAGAAGCAAAATGAAAAATGATGAAAAATAGAGAGCCAACAATGACAATTGATGGAAGAAGTTTTTGTTTTTTCTCTATTATTTTTTATTGGTATTTGTGTTTCTTTATTTTTCATCATTTTTCATTGTTTTTTTCTTCAATTTTTCATCATGGTTCATTGTTGCTTCTATATTTTTCATCATTTTTCATTGTTTTTTATCTTTTTCATATTTTTTTATTGTTTTTTCTCCCTTTTTCATCATTCTTCATTGTTGATTCGTTTTTTTCCATCATATTTTATTTTTTTCTATGTTTCATCATGTTTCCTTGTTTGTGTTCCCGCTATTTTTTCATCATTTTTCACTGTTTTTTTCAATATTTTTAATTGGTTTTCATTGTTTTTTCTCTCTTGTTCATCATTTTTCATCGTTGTTTTCTCTTCTTTCCATCATTTTTCATTGTTTTTGTTTTATATTTTTCATTATTTTTCATTGTTTTTCAATTGTTTAATGTTATTCTTTGAGCTTTGATAAGGCTCAAAAATACGAAAACGGACAAGATAGAATATTTTGGAGACCCTGGCATGACATGGTTCCAAATTATATATGTGGAAGCATTCCATTGCGTGGAAACGTTTGTGTGCTGATTTCCAAGATGTGTATATATATATATATTATTTAGAGAGATATAGATATATAACCGTGGCAGGAGGGAGTCCACTTGGCATGTTGGCTTAGCTGATTTGTAAAAAGAGGTTTTCGCAGCTTTACTGGGATTTACTGGGATTTCCCCCCAATTCCATAATTATCTATACCGACCGGCGAAAAGATCGAATATTCTATCTTGTGATTATTTTAATTTCAGAATATTCTATCTTGTGGGTGCTAGACCCTGTGTTTTTTTATATTCTATCTTGTCCCGACTAAGAGTACAATATTCTATCTTTCAGGCGGTCGGTATAAATATATTTATATACATATATATATATATTTAAAAAAAACATGGTGAGGATTTTTTGAGATACAGTATCCTGTGATTTCCCTGCTTTTTGATAAAGGATCACTAATTCTACATATATATGTACATACATATATATATATATATATATTATACACACCGATGCATACACATATGCATATGCAATAAACATTATGTATATATATATATACATAATATTTGTACATACAGCAGGCCAAGGTTGGCTATGTAGGTGCGGATACCACAGTGCTGTGACCTTCTCTTGGAAGGTCACCGCGAACATCCGGGGTCTCCTGGACGTTTTGCAAATGTACTGGCAGGAAGGACTGACCGCGGATGGAAACCCATTGCGCTGGTTTTGAGGGGGAAGTCTAACCATCAATAATGGACTGGTTGGTGGTTTGGAACATGTCTTTTATTTTTCCATATATTGGGAATAATAATCCCAACTGACTTTCATATTTTTCAGAGGCGTAGGTCAACCACCAGCCAGTGGAGGTTGGTGAAGGTTGAAGCACCAAGTATTGGAGGTGGGACCAAGCACGGAAGGCCATCAACATTGAGGGGAAATCCGCAATTCAAACTCAATCATGAACATGTGGGAGTGCTGAAGGGTATAGCTGGTGGTTGGGAACCACGGGTGATAGGAATTGTACCACCAAAGTGGGTGATATTTCGGGCACCTGTGGGTATAGAAAACCAAGCAACAAGTGGCTGGTGATGATCCCATTTCACCAAATCCTTGCTGCCTCGATAATGGATGATACTCCAGCTAGCCAGGTTTGGTTACCGAAGGGTAATTGAGATGTTGTTTCTCCAGATGTGGTCAGAAACTAGTCAGAGGATGGCGGGGTTGAGGAACTGCACTGGCCCGTGTCTCTTGCGAAAGGATTGTGAATACCATCGCACCTGAACAGATTGATCAACTAACGGGGCGTTTCTTATGGTAGAACGTGAAGATCTCATTTGCCCCAGTGATTTCAAATATATATATATATAGATATAGATATAGATAGGTAGTATCCAGAATGGAATGCCCCAAAGGGTCGCAAATTTCACCCACACAAACACAGCACCAGCGACGGCTGCAGGATTTGGCCCCAACGAGGAGTCACGGAGATTGGAGCAAGAGTTCCAGCAGCACTCGCGGCTACGAGTCATTGGGAAGCCTGTTGGGCCATCTGAGATCAAGGGATGTTTAAGTGGCTGTAAGCCCTAATAAATCAATGGTGTTTGTGATGTTTTTTGTGTTCGACTTTTTTGCAACATTGATTTCCTTTTAATCACGTTGAAACAAACTGGGCTGGTGGTTTTGCATACTGCTGACATTAGGAAATATTAGGGAGGATCATCGTCTGATTGGCAGTTTCTGAAACGCAAAAAGATGCGGATTGCGACCTTGGAGTGCGTACTACTTTTGGCAGAAATGTTTTCTTCATTGTGTTTTCATGTTTCAGGGCCGAAGGAGAGCAAAGGAATCCAACGTTTGTAGGTTTCTCCTAGTTTGTATTTCTTGTTTGCCATTTGGTTTATGGCCATTTCAGCTACCTACATTGGAGGTACCCACCATAGATAAAGGATGTAAAAGGGGAATATGTGATATCCCCCTAAAATAGCTTTACACTGTGGATGGATCCTGCACCGCCTTGGATGGTAGAAAGCTTTTAAATCATGGGCTAAGCCACATCACTCAACTGGTGCAGGATTTTTTTCCATTCACAGTATGGTGCAGTGCCTCCATTTTAGAGCCTGGAATTCTTATGGATTTGGTTTTTTTTTTAAATAACATGTCGAGTCTCCGAGGCTCTTGTCCTGGTCCCCACTGGCGCAAGAGGTGGATGCGTTTTACTGACCAGGTTTTTGGGAGGGCGATTACCAGATAGCTAACTTGATTTTTGAACTAGATTAACTATGTTTTATGATGTTTTATCTTAGATATTGTTGGATATGATATATCATGATATATCATGATATATCTATAGTCAATGGGCTTCATACACAAATGATCACACATGTATGGGGCACCACCTTTCATTTGGGGCCACACATCCAGAAGTCAGGAGGTGATTTGTTGGAGTTGAACGCTCGACACCTCAACTTGCAGGAGTCCCCCATTGTTGGATATTGACAGCAGTTGGAAACCATCGTGTATAACTGTACAACTATATGCTATAACTACAAAAATCTATGAACTTCCAACGCCAAAACTACAAACACCTATTGCGCACTTTACATTTCAAGAGAGAATAACTATGGAGAATTGACAACATGTTTAAAGTGACTTGATGAACTGCTTCCTTCAGCTGTTCACTTTAATCAATCCACTGAACTCGCCAGGATTTTCAGCGGCGAATCAGCAGCTTGGCCCATTTGCGACATGGAGCGCACTTGGACCAGGCCGAAGGGATGGGAAGCATGTCGAGTGGTTCCGATTTCAGCATTGTTTTTTTGCCCATCTTGATTGATTTTGATTTAAGACTTGCATATGTATGTGTATTTATATATATATATATGCATATTTGTATTAATTTACATGTACATATGCCTGTGTCTGCCATATATATATATATATATATATATTACTTGAGTGGTTTGTCCATGGGATGCATTTGAGTGACACATAGACATAGCCAGGAATGTTTCAACATGCCATTCTACCTGATTCACCTTGATGAGCTGCCAGGACAAGGATTGCAAAGTATCCTTAAACGAACCATGGCTGGGTGTGAGAGGGGATGGTTGGGCGATCCAAGTCTCGATTCTTCAGCTGTTTTTGTGACGGACGATGTGTCGCGATCGAAAAAATGTTTATTTTGTAACGAATTTTGCAGATACCCATGTCATAGATACATTTGATGTGTGTGAGATGCATGATGGCTTGACTGATTGTATTGCATGAATCATCAAACGGATGACACATTTGTTTTTGTTGGTGTCTTCTCGTAGCAGACGATAGTACTCATGAACCTTGGAAGACTGATGAACTTGCCCCTGTATAGATAATTCCCCGGAAACTCCTTTATTTCTTTTTTTAGTTGTTGAATGGAAATTGCAAGTGTTATCTGATCGCGATGTTTTTGTTGTTAGCTTGAATTTTCGTGCCTAAACCATCCTAAACCTGCTATATGTGAATTTTACCTTGGTATCTAAACAACATGTTTTTTTTGGCATAAATGCCGAACTTGTCCCAAGTTTCCCTGGTTCACAACCTATTTTGTCACTTGTTTAAAGTGCAATCTCTAAAGCATATCACATGCATGTTTTTTAGGGTCATATGCCGGCCTTCCCCCTCTCCACACGGGGCCACGTTATCGAAACCTTGAGGAAGTGCTGACATTTGCTTCCGCAGGTCATCAAGCCGGTGACTTGGTGATCGATGGCTGATTTGTCTGGTGGTCAACGTGATGGGGGAACGGTCCATAAGAATTTCTAACAGTTATCCCATGTTATCCCATTCACCCAATCCCTACTGAGCACAGTGTTTGTCATAGCTTTGCAACAGGAATCAAGCACCAACAAATAGTGTGATTTCATGATCAAACAAAGCTGAATGGAGGGGATTTTGCCGGGGATTGTATGCGTATGCGTGTAGAATTGCCTCGAAATGGTTGTTTCCTTTTTAACAAAGTCGCCAAACAATCGACTGGATGATCACTTGATGTTTCCTCTTCAAAACCACCCACATGCCTGAACATACCATACCTATAATTACAACCTAACTTCATAGAATTTGGGGTATAGATAGCCACATGTGGCCACCCAAATTCCTTCACTTTTCCGCCACCGCGCCACCGCTGAACGGGGGCGCATTGCCGGCGAACAGCCCAGGTGCTGAATCCCTGGCGTGTTGGGCCATGAGTGCTGTTGGCACTGGAGGCCACCGGGATGGGATCATTGCACGGATTGGTTACTGTCTAATTCTCATGGTACTTCATTATTGAAAAGTCTATGGGGGCACAAGCAGAACATACGGGATGCGAGGCAAGAGGCGAATAGAGGGAGATGGCAGAACTGGACATTTGAATGGGGTGAATCCCAGGTGGGGGGTTTGAAATGCGGCTGCAGAGTCGGCCATCCCAAACTGCATAGTCCCAGGGCCTACGTCTGGGCCCCTCTTGACATGCATGCATTCATGTGAAACATGCATGCCATATGTGTATATATTTTTGAACATCTTATCTTTGTCAGTAGTGTGTATGTTTTAATATATGTATGTGCGATGTATGTATGCAGAGGTGCTTGCTATACGTTTGTACACTGTACATTTATCTGAATATTGGCGAACTTTCCAGGTTAGTGAGTTCTTATAATTTGCCCAGATAAATGCATACACAGGTACCTACCTGCAGTGTAACATATGGCTGCCCTCAGGGGCCGTGTCCTGGGAGATGCTTTCGAAGCATTTCAAGGCGGCCGTTTCGAGAAGTGCCATTTGGGAACCGCATTTTTTTTGGTAAACATTGGTAGATGGCCAGTTTGTAGGTGATTATATGCAGCAACAGGTATTGGAAGAAGATTATGTGAACAATTCTGAACTAGTTTTTCAAGGTGTACTGATAGTCAAGATCTGTCATAGTTGTGGTAAGAGGAGACAAATCCAACTTGAAACAGTTTTAAAAGTCAAACATCTTTAAACCATGGTTATATAGGCAGAAAAATGTTGGATAAGTTCCAACAACAACAACAACAACAAGAACAAGAACAAGAACAACAAGAACAAGAACAAGAACAAGAACAAGAACAATAACAAGAACAAGAACAACAACAACAACAACAACCCATCACACGCATGGCTGGCCTTAAACATGTTGGAGGTTCACCCCCTAAAAGATTGACATTTGGGTGGTAAAAACATATCTTACCTTCTTACTCCAAAGTTACCGCCAGCACTTGTTCTATGCCCCAAACTCTTTCTGGATGATTTTCGGGCACCTCATTTTGGATATTTCTGGTATAACCTTACAATACTTTGTGGCCTTCCACTATGGATGTTCGAACCCAGGGACGTGTTTGATCCTCTGCGAGGAATCTGCTGTCCGACAATCCTGGTTTTAGCACTTTTTACTTACAAAAACCTCTCTCTCTCTCTATCTATGTCTCTCTGTGGTTGCAAGACACGTGTCATCTGATGCTCTCTACCAAATATCCTCTGCTTAATCAATCTTACTTTTCACACCTTATCCCTCCATAGCTCATAAGAATTCACCAACCATTCACCGACTATCTTTTACGATTACCATCCTCAGAGCTGCTTGAAAAGCATCTTTTTCGCTCTCGGGCCAACCGTCGTCTAGTTACTTACAAAAACCTTGAAACGAACCTAGAAAAACCCTAGGAAAGACCCTAAATGAACTTTAAAGACACCCTAATTGAACATAAATGAAGCCTAATGGGGCGTAGCGCACGTGCTGCGGGCAAACTTAAAACCTGGAGATTGGAAACCACCCAGTGCCAGTATGATCCATGCAGCCGATAGACTCTTGGCAAGTGGCCATGAAATATTCTCAAATGGTGTTCAACAGGCTTCACGTCTACTTCGAAAAAGGACAACTTCATTGATCCATAGTGAAAAAACGCATGTTTCAACATTTAAACCCATATTTATCCCAGTCATTTACGTAATCTCCAGAAAATTTAGGTCAAAGAGCTTCTGAACCGAAAGCACCCGCCAGGCTTTCCATGGCAGCTCGAGCAAAGAAGAGCTCCACCATATCTTCCAACAGAAAGATGTTCCTTGGGCTGGTGGCCACGGTGGCGGGTTCCTGAGGTAAACACGGAGCTTGACATGTGGAGATTCTGTATGAATGGCGATTTGCTGCCAGGTTCGGGGCGACGTAATCAGCAAATGCTTTCAAGATGATTCTGCTGTCTAGACGTGTGTCGGTGATTCCTTTTCATGTGTGCGGTAGTCTGTGCTCTGAAGAATTGAAATCAGAAACAATCAGCCAGGTGCTGTTGTCTACTGGTCGAAAGAGGTGAACGATATAATCCCATGTAACCCCACCAAGACTGGCTGCAAAGATTGGCTATCAAACCTATCATTGAATCATCGTCGGGGCTAGATATGCACGGCCAAGGTCGACGGCTGCTACCTCAGCTGGGAGGAACTGGGTGCGGTGGGAATTTTGGAGAGTTCAGGACGAGGGGAAAAGGGTGACTGTATAACTCTGTTTACACCAATGATGTATTGTTGTAGTAGTTGACTCACGTATAAATTCACTGTAATTCTGAAGTTCGTTGCGTTGCTGTCTGTGAATTGGTTGGGTAATTCTATTGATCTAGGTCGCATGGGCTAGAGATGAGGCTGGTAGTCGAAACCCTTCCGCGAGAAGGTCATGGCACAAGTTAAGGAGTGTGGGCCACACTTTGGTAGCTAAAAGATACTAATGATGGCATCCTTAGGGGTGCATCCTGTTGGGTAAATGGAACTGAAGTATGCTGAAGTATTTCCCACGTATAACTGGGTGATCATATGTGATAATATGTTGATTGCATGTTAATGCCCACTTACCAAGTCGGATGCACATCCCAGCGCCTTGCAACTAAATAAGCCGGTGCAGTCGCATGTCACTGACATGTTGGCCCATGACCTGTATAGCCAGAGGTGACATGGCGAGCAAGATGACATAGCCCCAAAAATATATGAGGAAACATCGCACGACTCAGGCGTTTATCGGATACAAAATCGTCTCAAGATATCTAAAGTCTAAAAATCATATAGTATCATTGAAGTTTTTGGGATTAAAAGCTGACATTTCTTATATAGATGATTATCCCAGCTGGAAACCTTCATTTAGTTCGGTGATTTCCCAGCTTTCCATGCTTGATTACCAGAGAGTAAATTTAATTAAATAGATTGCAATAGACCATTAGATAGCCATTACTATCAATGATTCACCATGTATCAAATATTTAGCATTACTAAACCACCATTGACCTAATATTACCTGACAGTTTTCATCATTTACCCAGGGCCATTCCAGGCTTTGTTGCTTGCACAAAAATAAACCAAGGCAATGGGCTCAGCCTGAAGGAAGGTCAAGCCTGGCACGAGGCGGGGTCTGCTTCTGATGCATGGGGTTTAGTTACATAAGGATTGTTTAATTGAATCTCTTAGCTGCTTAGCTGAAAGATACACCAAAAAAATGAAACAAGAGTTTTGTAGGAAAGTTGTAAATTTAGTTTTATGATGCTGTGGATGGAACGCTGTTTGTAGGACATACTGGCGAGATTCAGGATTCCATTTATATAGCACTGTTGAATGCTTGCCAGTCCCGGTGATGAAATTGAAGCCAATACATGAAAGCTCACACAAGCACATCCGACCAAAGCAACTATTCCAAGATATGGGTCAGTACCGTCCGAGTTAGTAGCTATGGGAAATGACCCATTGAAAAAAAAGGATAGGCATGATGACCTACCTATTAAACAATGGTTAATTTCCAGTTCGCTACGTTAAATTACCAGAGGGTAACCCGGCGATGTATGAGATACCCTTGGTCATATATGAATATATTTATTTATATATATATATATGCATACACCGGCTTTACGTTGCTGAGTTACTGATTAACTCGGATCCACAATCAGTCGTAGACAAAATCAGTCTGAGAAAGGAGTCACATCCAAAGGCACCGGAGTCACAGGAGTTGCCTCAAGGCTGTGAAGAAGTTGCCCATTCGGCTTTTTTCTCCAAAAAAGCCAAAGGGCAAGGGAAAGGATCGCACACCAACTGGGAAGACAGAACCTCCCTTGGGAAAGCCGAGGGATTCTCAAGCTTCAAGCTCCGATGCTGTGATTGACCTGGTGGGGCATCATCTGTCAGGGGCAAGGCTGGACCTTCAGACTTCCAGCGGATGGGCGTAACAATTGCTGAAGACTGCCCGCATCGTGATGGGAAAGCATGGTTCTTGAGAAGTAGGTGCATGAAATTGCATCTATCATGGTCCATGGGGCTATGCAGACTCCATGTGTTCCCAATGGAAATGTTTTTTTTTAAATCACCAGTCATAACTAGCAATTACAGGTATATACCTAGTAGACTCTAGTGCCAAAATGGACATCTATTGGGCAAAATCATGGTGAACCAAGGGATTTTGGGGCGCAAAGCCTGAGACAATCCCATGAAATGCGAGGATTTGGAGCTGCTGGAGCTCTTGGTGACTTCTGTACCTGAGCTGAAGGATAGAAGGAGAGGATGGTTCGGGTACTTGGGCCCCAGTTGGGGTTAGAATTGGGTATAACCATGGTGATAACCGATAGCCTCAAGAATTGGCATATAACCTCTATATCATCCATGGTTAGTTATCGATTTATGACTGCAACTGCATCCCTCAGTTGGGGCTAGAAATGGATGCACACGCATCGCAAGTGGGTCACGTGGGTAGTAGCATGTAGATTGCCCGGTTGGAATCACAAAGTTACAAACCAACCTACGCGGAAAATTGGGATGCACTGCCAAGTAAGAAATTACCTGGTTGGTGGTTTGGAACCATGGAATTTCATGACTTTCCATATATTGGGAATGTCATCATCCCAACTGACTTTCATATTTTTCCAGAGGGGTTGAAACCACCAACCAGCTGTAGTATCCAGGAATATCTGGTAATTACTGTAGTTGCCTAAAGTGACTGGGGGTTAAATAATTCTATATACATACACATCGCCCATCATTGTCCGGGTACGATATTGCAGGTGTATTTGAATTCCTGGCGTTTGATTCCAACTGTTTCATCCCATGATTAAATCATGGTTTGTGGCAATGTTAGTAACGCAATGATAAACCATCCCAAAAATTACCATAAATGGTTGGTATGAAGCATCATATATATATATATATATGTATGGTTGGTGGTAACATTTTTTACTTTCCATTTCATAATATATGGGATGTCATCCTTCCCATTGACTTTCATATTTTTCAAGATGGTAAAAACCACCAACCAAATCCATGTTTGATAGTGAAACTCCAATAAATCACCATTTTGGATGGTAAACTCCCTATGAAATCCCCATTTTCCAAATTGTTAACCAAATAATATTATAAACCAGCCATAATACTATAGCAATACTATATATATATATATATATTATATATACATAGGTGATTTATGATTGACCTGAGCTCCACGAGGCTTTCCATCACTTGGATTCTGACTGGGACCAGCAGCTGAACCGCAGGGAGTTTGAATCCGTTGAGGCCAGGTGAGTTCCTTGCCGGTTCGGTGGGGCACCAGTTGGATAGCTAAGTTGGTTTACTGTATGTGCAAAGGTTATAACTCTTGGGTTGATGGATGATTGTGGTATATCTATATGTATATATATATATTTATTTATTTAGATCTTTTCTTAATATATTTAACAATTTATATATGCAAACAAAAAAAATAGTAATAAAACAATAATATATTTTTAAATTTAGATATGTATATATATATATATCTATTTATATATATATATAACAATAATAATAATACTGATAATAACAATAATAATAAAGATAGCAATAATAATATTCGTAACAGTAACAATAAAAATAACCATAAAGCCATAATAATCTATATCTATATATAAAAATTATCGAAGGAAGTTTAGAAGTCAAACTTCCGACAATATGGACAGATGAAAAGCAGAGCAGGGCAGAGGCAGAGAGAAGAGAAAGATCAGAAGAGAGAAGATTAGAAGAAAGAAGAGTAAGAAGAAAGAAGATGCAGATGCGTGAAAAGGTAGGAAAGTCGCGAAACGCTGTGTTTTTCCAATGATTTGGGGCTCCGGAGGGTCGAAAAGAAGGCTCGCTAAAGCGGCGGGTGCGGAGCCAGCTGGCCAGATGAGAGATGAAAAATTGCACACCGTTGTGGCGCGAAGCACATTTGCAAGTCAAAATGTACAAAACACCTGGTGCTCGGAGCACTTTTGGAAGTTGAGATGTTGAAAAAGTGCACACCTTTGTGGCGCGAAGCACATTTCCAAGTGAAAATGTTTACAAAGCACACCAGGTGCGGACCACTTTTGGCACTTGAGATGTCGAAAAAGTGCACGCCGTAGTGGCGCGAAGCACATTTCCAAGTCAAAATGTACAAGACGCACCAGGTGCGGACCACTTTTGGCACTTGAGATGTCGAAAAAGTGCATGCCGTTGTGGCGCGAAGCACATTTCCAAGTCAAAATGTTCAAAACACTAGGGGTTCGAACCACTTTTGGAGGTTCAGATGTTGCTTCGCTTCACTACACTACACTACATTACACTAAAGACAGGTAGACAGATAGATAGATAGATAGATAGCTAGCTAGATAGATAGATAGATAGATAGATATATAGATAGATAGGTAGATAGATAGACAGGTAGACAGCTAGACAGATAGACAGATAGACAGATGAAAGAGAGAGAGAGAGAGAGATAGATAGACAGACAGACAGATAGATAGATAGATAGATATTTAGGTAATTAGATGGAAGAGAGAGAGAGAGAGATAGATCGATAGATAAATTGATTCATAGATAGATAGATAGCTAGATAGATAGATAGATAAATAGATGGATAGATAAGATAGAAAGATAGATAGATAGATAGATCGATGGAATGGATAGGATAGGATAGGATAGGATGGGATAGGAGAGGAATTGATAGGATAGATAGATAGATAGATAGATAGGTAGGTAGGTAGGTAGATAGTCAGAGAAAGAGAGAGAAAGAGGGGAGACCTCAAGCCCTTTTTGGTCTGGTCCATCAGTGGCTTCGCTCTGCCATCCCTGATTCACAACAACCAACCTCTCCTATAGGTTTCTTTTTTTGAAACTTCCGCCACCGCCTTGTGCGGTACTACTGGTATCTATATCTATATCTAATCTACAGTTGATGTGGCTTAGAAACCAAGAAACATCATGGGGGCCACCACCTTCGTAGAGAAGCATCCATGACATGTTGGAGAGAAGCATCCATGACATGTTGGAGTATGCCTTCATGATACCGCACATGATATCGCATCAGCTTTTCAATCCAATGCTTGCCATGTCACCCAGGTGATCCAGGTACTTCTGATGCATTTACATACTTTTAGAACCTTTTGGAAATGATCAATGGATTTGTTTAAGGGAAAATCTTCGGGAAAAATGGCCAATATGGAGGTTTCCAGTTTCAATCTTCCCTTAAACCAATCCATTGACATGACCATGTACAGTAGATGCACAAGCCATACGCAGATGGTAGTCTGACCTGACCAGGCATGCGAGGATGCCTTGGATTTTTCGACGCCCAGATCTCAAGCTTCGCATCATGAATGTGAACGAGCCTGCTGTTGGCATTGTAACTGGTGGGTTCACCTACAACAGACTAGTGGTAGAATGAAGTTCATTGAAGATGCTATTCTGGGGATATAGTGGATCCATTTGGATTTTCTTGGGATACGATGCGAACTCAACACAAAGGCACCACGTTGGTTGGGTGCACCCCTTGCCTCTTCGGACACGGTAATAAACTGGACCTCCGTTGAAACCTGTATGCATAGCTTGATGGTTGCTGAAGCTGTGTAGGATACCCTGCCTCTAAGGCTAGATTTCAACAACGACAGCCACATCGCCAGGTCCTCAGTCTTGATCCATTGTGGGGAATTGGGTGAACAATTCCATCCAAAAAACGGGATATGGGCACAAAAGGATGGTTCACCCATGTTGAACCCATGGCTAGCCCATGTCAAGCCACAAGAACGTCCCCACCATTTGTCTGTGTCATGCTGTCCTTGTCACGTCTCTAGATGTGTTTTCTGCTGTTTTATAAGATTGACCTTGTTTTGTTCGCTGGTGCTTTGACACAACGTGTGTTTGTTCCATCAGTGGAGAAGATGAGTAAATCCAGCTCCTTGGGCATGACTTTGAGTTTCAGTATGTTGTATTTGGTAAAAAAAATACTTTACTTCGTGTGATCCCCACCATGACATTTATACATTTTGTTACTGGCAAATCTTCTGGCATTCTATCTGACATATTTTCTGGCATTCGATCTGGCATTCTATCTGGCATATCTTCTGGCATTCTACCTGGCATATCTTCTGGCAGATGTTCTGGCATATCTTCTGGCAGATGTTCTGGCATATCTTCTGGCATATCTTCTGGCATATGTTCTGGCATATCTTCTGGCATTCCATCTGGCATTCTATCTGGCATATTTTCTGGCATATTATCTGGCAAATCTTCTGGCATTCCATCTGGCATTCTATCTAGCATATCTTCTGGCATATTATCTGGCAAATCTGCTGGCATTCTATCTGGCAAACATTCTGGCACTTTATCTGGCATATCTTCTGGCATTCTAGCTGACATTCTATCTGGCATTCTATCTGGCATACCTTCGGGCATTCTATCTGGCATATCTTCTAACATTCTATCTGGCATATCTTCTGGCACTCTATGTGGCATATCTTTTGGCGTGGATACTCGCGGTTGAGGTCCGGCAGGGAACACTTGGCATGGATACTCGCGGTTGAGGTCCGGCAGGGAACACTGGGCGTGGATGGTCGTGGTTGAGGTCCGGCAGGGAACACTGGGCGTGGATGGTCGTGGTTGAGGTCCGGCAGGGAACACTGGGTGGGGATGGTCGTGGTTGAGGTCCGGCAGGGAACACTGGGCGTGGATGGTCGTGGTTGAAGTCCGGCAGGGAGCAGGAGGAGAGGAGACGAGGAGAGGAGACGAGGAGAGGAGACGAGGAGAGGAGAGGAGAAGAGAGGAGAGGAGGAGGAGGAGAAGGAGGAGGACGAGGAGGAGGAGGAGGACGAGGAGGAAGCAACTGACATAAAATCTAACAACCCTCACCTGGCAGGTGGGGAACTATGTTTGCGTACCCCTGAAGGTCAAATGACTAATTTTGCTGATGATATATAACTGGTAGTGAAAATCCACAATTAGCCCAAGTGGTAAAATGGGTTATATACTTGCATTTTCTAGGCAGCTTTCAACAATGGCCAGCTTTCATCCATTCATCGCAGGCCCTGCGCGAGCTGCTTTGGCAACCCTTGCTGTCCTGGGAAATACGACAACTGGCCTTGCAGCAAGGCGTGGCGGGGTAGGAACCTCAGTGGTAGAGGGAAATCATTCCGCAGAGTTGCTCAGCTCCAACTCATTACAGGTACCCTCTGGTTATTTAACATAGCCATGGAAAATGGCCCATTTATAGATGGTTTACCTATTAAAAATGGTGATTGTCCATGGCTATGTTAAATAACCAGGTGGTAAATGATAGGCATAAGTGGAATAAATTGGCGGCCATTTTACCTCCTATATTTAACCGTTTTTTTCCCCCCTTGTACCTGGGGTGTTTGGAGCAAAACTGACAAATCGCTTAGGTCTAATTTAGATTGATTCGGAACATGTAGTGCTTGGTTCCGATGAATACGAAAAACACATGAAAACACTGTCATTTTTTGTTTTTTACTGCTACCTCAGTATTGTCTAATTGCCAAAGGAGCCCCCTTCATAATCTCATTCAGCTTCATAATGAATTGCCTCGGTGGCAAACGGCACCGTATGTTTGTGGCCACCGTATGTTTGTGGCCACCCCAGCATTTTGTCAACGGAGTTGGTCAAGGAAAAACCTGCAGGAAAACATCGAGTCTTTCCATTTATGGGGGCCTCGGGTAAAGTAATGATTCCTTCAAGCAGCTTTGGGATGTTGCAATGTGGGCCCCCAAGATAGTTAAAGCCGGTTTCTAAGTAAATTAGGCTGATGATGTGGTAGAGATATCGACCTGTTTTTCATGGAGTGCTGAAATCAGCCAACGAATGTTTAACTGGTGGGCACCACCTTGAACCGTATTTTTTTCATTTAGTAGTTATCAGTATTCAATGCTATCCCCATGGTTTCGAATTCATCCCCGTAGAACATGATGGTTACCTTAAACTTAAACCATCATTTATTGATTATCAGTTATATCCCCATGGTTTAGATTTTATCCTCTATGGTTTCATACGCCATTCTATCCGATGGGTCGTGTTGCTAGGCTTTGCCTTGGCCGATGAAGACCAAGATGGACAGCTTAGCGACTGGGGCCAATGTTGATTTGGATCTTAAACGCTATAACAGACATTAACACTATGATTCCAACATTTGATGTGCTATAAATGGGCATGAAGATGTTCAACTTATGCTATATCAGTTGGACCTTTTTAGGGATGTGAAATTAGAACTTGAACTCATTTTGCGCTATATGTATGATATGAATGGGTTTTAAGATCAGATAACATCATCATGGGCATTAATTGGGAAGTACTGCTTGAGATTGCGAGACAGGTGCCAGAATGTGGCGCTGGTTGGTGGTTTTCTTGATCTGGGTAGTTTTGCCAACATCATGGTTTGCTTCTGCTGTTCAGTTCTGCTTCTAAGCATTTTGGGGTCTCCACGCAATATCATTTAATTTGGTTGGTGGTTTGGAACATTTTTTATTTTTCCATATATTGGGAATATTAACTCCAACTGACTTTCATATGTTTCAGAGGCGTAGGTCAACCACCAAGCAGTGATGTGTTTTGGTATTTTCAGCTGGCATTCCCGCGCTTTGTGGATAGGAAATCCAAAGGATTGGATGTTTGTTGGCATAGTGGGACTGATTTCACCCTGCAGTGCCCAGACTTCCCAGGTGGTCCAGAGATGGAAAGGCCAGAGATGGGTATCCAAGAAACCAGTTGCTGGGTTCCGAAAAATGGGTACTGATGGGCCCCCAAAACAAATCAAACAAGGGCATGGTCGGTTCACCTTACCATGAAGCTGTTTTAAACCATCTAGCTTTGGGGCTCAGTCATTTCGAGCGGTAGTCAGCTTAGTAATGGATCAACTTGAAGTGATCAGGAGTTCTGTGCCCATTTGGATGAGAAAGTCGGCTAAAGATGATCGCCTGTGGTCACAATGACTTGCAGTTGCAGATACTTGAAGTACCATGCTGGTTTGTAACATTTTTCCATATCCAATTCACATGTTTAACAAAATAAACATCCCAACAAAATAAATTCTCCTCGTGACAAAACAAATTCTCCTCGTGGCATCATATTTTGGGAGTGTATGCTGAGCAAATGGATCTCATGTGTTGTTTTTCAGTAAATATAACCACGCATGGTAAGTCAAAGTGCATTAATTTCTAACCATTGAGGTTGGTTTCATACTTACAACTTACAACCTCAAAACCCTTTTGGAATACAAAGAGTAGACATACATTCCACTTATATAATACAAGGTGGCGCCCCATAGCTAGCAAAGTTAGTGAACATAACTCCGAAAACTTGTCCGTTTATGGTAGATATACCTTTAGTAGAACTGTATAACTACCATTAGCTATAGAATGCTGAACCCATTGTAACCATTAATAACTTTTGATAGATATTAACTTTTCACCATAATTAACGTAAACGTTAACTATAGTATTAAATAGTATATGTGATCATTGCTATTCTATAGTTGATGGTGGCTATAAACCAACAAACATCACTGGGGCCAGGCCCTCCGGGCAGCAGCTGCTGCATCTGCTCAGCGACGTTGCGACGACATCCTCGTCGTTTCAAAGCGCCGGTTGCGTCGCACGGACCTGGCGCCGGGAGGAGCCCTGGGCCCAGGAGCTGCGACGTTGCGGTGCGCTGGGGATGGGGATGGGAGGAAAGTATGGGAAAAAACAACTTGGAAAATCTTGGGAGGAAAGAATAGATGTGATATTCTATTAGTTTCTAGATATTATGATCCTATTGGAAATGAATCATAAAATACTTGGAAAAGCTTGGGAAGATATGAATGATAGAGGGTGATAGAAAATGAGCCAGGTTCTAAACCCTTGTGTTCATGTTAAGCAAGGGGCCCCTTGTAAGGGTGTGGCGTAAGCAAAGCTGTGGTGCGCGTAAGCCAGCGCAAGCTCCGCGTAGGACAAGGTATGCGCGTAAGCAAAACGTGCACGCGCGCGTAAGCAAAACGCAAGCAATGGCGCAAGCATTTCCTTATTTGGTGCCAGGGTGTAAGACATTTAGAACATGGCTCAAATGGGATTTGACTAATGAAAAGCTTGGGAAGATCAATGATAATTGGTTTGGGGTGGAAAGATGAATTTGACAGTTGGGATATTATGGGATGATTTGACAGATTTGACTGATTCAGCTTGGAAAGGTGGGAATATGGATAATAGATGGTGGTATTATGGGATTTGACCGGCAATGATGGTTTAATGATAAACCAAGATGGTGATAACTTCAGAGTTTGTCCCAGGGTTTTAACAATTGGGAAGTTGGGGAGTGGTCACGGGGAAAAAGATCCTAATGGAACATGTGAAGGAACCTATGTTTTTGTTTAACCACCAGACCTGATAGCTTCCATCGATCTTTACATACCTTGAAAATTGGGAAACAGACATATTAAATCCTAGAGATAGTCCAGAATTTTGTGGGTATGCGGCCATTCAGTACCTTCGAAAGTGGACATTTTTCACCGAACCAAAACGCTGCCGCCGCCGTTGGGAGGTTTTGTGCACCTGTTGCCGGGCCTATTTCCAGAGGCATTCGTCACCTGGATCGGATCGTTGGATGGATCATCCCAGGTCGAAGGACCGAAGAAAGGTGGGTTGAATCTGGGATGAAATTGGTTTAGACCCACCATAAAAGCTGGCAAAAAAAAACATCAAAAAACTGAGCTAAGCTGGGTTGATCGAAAGAAAATGAAAGAAAAAGGGTCGAAGGAGCCAATGATTATGATGAGAATATGTGTTGCTGATGTTGGTGGGTTCTAGCATGATAGAGCTACATTACACCATGTTGTGTCTTGGTGAGCTTGATGTAATGGCAGGGTACCTGCTGTTGCTAGAAGTTAATTATCGACCAGGGACCACCATTACCTAGGAACTAACATAGCGAATCATAGCTATGTAAATGCGCTTGGGACAGGTTTGAGAGAACCGAGTGAAAACATTGCAAGCCAAAACCAAAGAGTGCTGGAACATGCACGCAGCCGTCAGTTTGAGTTTTCTCGGCCGCATGTTCAACGTTTCACTCTCGTGCCATGAGCTGACAAGAACACATGGAAAAAGAATCAGGATTTCCTATATATATATATATCATACATGTATACATTCATATCTATGGAATATTATAATCCTACAATGGTAATTCAATGGAAAATGGTAATTCTACAATTGACAAACATAGCTATTATGTTACGTCCTGAAGGGTGAGTTTTTATCGTTATACCTTGGTGCAAGCCACGGACAGCACCTCAGGTGACTGAGACCTTAACGCTGGCGAAACGGTCCAATTGCAGCGTCACGTGGCAGTGGTGGTGGTCATGGTGTGGTGGTGCTGAGGTTGGTAAAATCTGATAGAAAAAAAACGGGTTGTTTATGGTTCTTTGGGATAGTAATAGTATGATGGCTTTTTGGGGGTATACTTTTGGGGTTTGTTTTGAAGCCGCTAACCATCCCCCGCAAAAAAAAAGAGTCCTTGGGGAATCAGAAGACGGTCAAGGTCCCCCCATTCTACGACCCTGGCTGCTGCAAGGTGCAACCATTGAATGCAGAAGGGCGGCTTGACTGATTTTAATGCCTCATGTGAATTCTTCAGTTCCACTCATCGCCATATATCGAAATATATCTGTATAGACTTCTCTGATGTTCTATCCAAGATTGGGGTGGTTGAACTCGGTGATCAAGATTTAACCTCCTAACGATTTCTATTTGCCTTGGCAGGATCTCGCTGGATCATGGAGACTTGCGACAGGCACTGCAGGCCCAAGAGCTTTTGACTGGCGGCTTGTGATGATGCTGTGGGAACTGTGTGGTGGAAACGGATCAACGGTAACCTACCAAAAATATCCAAACACCATATATATAACTGGAAACCAGTGAAACAAGCCGCATACTTCGATACGTAAGAAAGACACACAACCAACAAGGACGAGAATTTCAAAGAAAACAAGGCAGAGCAAACAACCATTAACACACATGACCAAGATGGCCAGCATTTAACCCTCAACACCCTAGAGACTGAACATGTAACCTCGCACCATCTAATTTTCATAAATGATCAACCAATTTGATGCTCGAATATTTGAGTTTCATGTGAAAAGTAAGGGTGGGTTGGATCTTCCAGACATTTCAAGCCTCAACCCAGACGAAACAAGAGATTAGGCTTCCAGAGTTCTGGGCTGAATCCGTAGGCCCCAAGCACCGTATCATCCTATCATCCGCAGATTTTTTTGTGCAGAAACGATTCGCTTGACGTGTGCTGTGCTATGTGTTGGTCTATTTCGCTCGCAGTTGAACACTTTGAACTTTGAACTTGAGGGGCAGCAGCCACCCAAAGTACTTGCAAGCGGTCCTATCACCGAACCAAACTTACTGACCTTACTGTAGACCTGGCCGTGGGATTCCAAAAACTCGCACCTGGACGGCACATTGGACAGGAAGTGATGAGCCCAAAGGAGTGCCTCTTGGCACCAGATCATTGTGACTCAAGGTATCACGGAGAGGTTGAGCACTCTGATGGGAAAGTCATTGTCAAGTATAGCCTAAATACATCTAAATACCTAAGCATAGGAATCCTAGAATATAGATACGGGAGTACGTTGATCGTCGATGGAGCTTTTTCTAGGTGGATTTTTTTCTGTGAAGTGAACAGCTTCCTGGTCCCTCTAGAAGCGTCAGCAAGGTTCCAATTGGCAACAGCGCAGTCCCAGGAAAACAAGAACTAAGCATTTATATAGAAGGTTGCCCCATTGAAGTTGCCGAGGTAAACAGCCCGAAAATCCGGCTGGCTGCTTCAGCCGCACACATCTACATGTATTCATATAATTTATTTTTCTATATATATACACATATATATATAGGCCTGCGTGTTGAATTATTCCTCGTATGTTGAAGCCCAGGTGACATTCTTGGTCCATTTGGGATGGGTGGGAGAAGTCTTTCACCACCGCTGCAGGCTGCGAAGTCCTTGCGCTACAATTCGAATGCCTCCCACAGTTCGAGGATTCAAAGCTGGGCTGGCAGTTATCTGGGTAGCAACGGGGGAAGTCAGAATGGATGCACGATTACACATAATTACACATCTGGTTAACACAAGGAAAACTGTGCATTTATTTTTACATCATTTATTTATGTACATCCCCATTCATTGATTTACATGTTTCTATGTATTTATTTGTCATGTATCTATGCACTTATTTGTTGTCTATTTTTTAAAGCTATCTACTACGCTATATATTTACTTGTATAATTAATGTTATATAACTATAAGTTGTTTATTTATCTATCTTTATACATTTGGATCTATGTATGTTTCTCTATATATATATATATATGCGTGCAAATACACTCTGTGTGTGTGTCAACATGTTTGAGCGTATGTGTATATATATATATTATATGTGTGTATGGTTATTTATTTACGCGTGGATATGCAGTCATATGTTTAATGTATATATCTGCTTACATACGTGACAGCTAACGTGCCCATGTAATTTGACCTTCTTGTTGAACACCAGTCATCATTGCTCACATGCTGTTGCATCCATGAAATTTTATTTCTGGCCATACAGTTTGGCAATGGGATAGATCTATCTATCTAACCTGCAATCTAATCCAACCTAGTCCAATAATATACGTCACTCACATGCTCCATGTACTCAATATTTACTTGCATTTGGTGTATTTCAGGCGTAAATGCTCGCAAATATTCCATACAAGGAGAGGAGGGGTCAACTGTCTATTTGGTGGATTAGTTCGGGCTCCCATAAGAACCCCAACTAGTATCTTCTAGGACTAGAGGTACCATCGTTGGGAGCCGAAGTTCCATGGCACAACTGGTGGAGATTGCTGAGATCCCCAATTTTTCATACGAAAACCATAGGAAAACCCACTCGGGGCTCGACAGTGCCACCCACCCGTCGCAGGACGTGGATGCCCCGGCGTGGCGCGGCAGCAACTCTCCAGGCCGAGAGGTTGAGCGCTATACAGTGCCGCTGGTGGAATGTTCGGGGGGTGGGGCGCTTGTTGTGGCGGGAGGCAAATGAACATGTTCATTACTAACATGTCCATGTTTTGAGGAGTTGAACATATTCGGACTTGCAATTTTTGCAAGAAAAAACACCAGGATTAACGAGATTTATGTGCAGATGCAACCAGGTAAGGAGCTCCTACATCTCCTACCTTTTTTAAAAATATCAATTTTTTATTGCTCAAACCTGCCAACATACGAGTCAGAAGCGGGTTCTAGTGCTTTTGATAGCTGTGAGGTAACATGTATTGAAAAAAATAGGAATTGTTATTCTTGTCTTCACTTTAATTGATTTGTTAGGTCAGGCTTTTTGGTGGTTTCAACACCTATATGACCCAGATCTTCGCAATTGAAATAGCCAGTTCATCATTCCGATCGGATATCCCACCTATTTTTGGCGAACTTATGTTTTGATTTGTTTTGGAAATCGAGTTCAGACATGTTCTTTTTGCCCCCTAAACCTAAAGATGCCCTAAAATTTGAGAGCGCATGCCACTAAGTCTGAGGTGCTTTTGGTGTTGGAGCCCGTGCATCTTGGCAGTGTCGACTTAGTATCCCCTTATTATGGGTTTATATGGGTATAAAAATGAATAAAATTGGTTATGTATGTATATATACATATACATATAAATATATACAAGTATATACATATATATGTACACACACATATGAATATTTATATATATATATACATATGAACATAGATATATAATTATATATATTTACATAAATGTACATATATATATATATGTATGCATATGGATTAAAAAACCACTTACTAAGTGGAATGCACATCCAAGTATTCATTCCCAAGATTCATGGAACCGTCATGTCGAGGAGTCTTACCAAGAAATGATTGATTTATGGAACATAGATCAAGCTTCCCAGCTGGAATCCTCATGTCAGCGTAGAAGCTTTCCAAGAATTGGTATATACTGATATATCATGTGTCTTTCACCCTCAACCTAGAGGTAGGAATGAATCCGCTATAGTGCGTTCATTGCCCCGACATTTTGGCTCTTTGTCGCATTTTATAGCATGGACACTTTGAGGGTTGAGGTAAAGAGGGTAGGACACACATAAGACATGTGGAGACTATGCGACGGGTGTCATGGCCGAAAATGTCCAAATACCTTGGATCCGTTCCACCTCTTTGTGACACAAGACTTCCCCCGCCATGTTCGTTACAGCACATGGTGTAACTGTAAGTATATACTAACAGAAAAGCCGAGGAATTTGCATGTCAAAACCAAAAAAGGTATACCAGGTTTTTTAGGTTACCAGGTATTTGTATAATATGTTTTAATTATATTTATATACTATATATATATATATATATAAATTTCTGCGTGTGTATGTTTGTATATACGGATATCATCCCCATTCCCATCACGGTTGGGGGGTTTCTGATTGCGATCCGAAGTGGCAATCGTTTCACATGGGTTTCACTTGCCGTGGACTCCAGGGAATGTCGGAGTGCTACCTCACAAAAATAACTGGTCGTGATTTCATGGGTTAACAATGCCTTAAACAATGGGTTAATAATGGTTAATAGTGGTTGGTAGTCTGGTTGGTGGTTTGGAACATGAATTTTATTACTTTCCATATATTGGGAATGTCATCATCCCAACTGAAGAACTCATATTTTTCAGAGGGGTAGGTATACCGCCAACCAGATAAACAATGTCCACACAACTTGAACTTTTTCCTGACTTTGGTATACAAGATTGTATGATTTACCCTCCAGTGAATTAACCTAGACCCTGAAAATGCTAATGTTTACTCAAACATATTCTTCCGACCCCCTAAACTCATGGCAAGGTCGTCATGTTAATTTGGACGATGTTAATCAAACATGGTAACATGGCCGTGAAAAATCACCCATTTACTGATACTGTATAAATTTCATGAAATTTCCCCATTCAAACATCCATTTAGTTCTGGGATGTTCCAGTTAGATATGTTTGATTTCAAGAGAGTAATTCACATATAATCCCATCATTACATAACCATCGTTAACATTTTTTTCGCCCATTGCCAATCGCTTATAAACTATATTATGAACCAACCACTATTAATCATTAGTTATTATGATTTATGTACATAACCATTAGTTATTAACAACTATTAACCACTATTAACCAATAGTAACCATCATTAACCATTAGTTATTATCCATGAAGCCTTTTTAATAGCATCATTTTCAACCATTAGCAAGTCATTTGCGACTCACAGGACCGTCCCCTTGTTGGCCTTCGCGGCGCATTCCGAGAGATCCTGGGATCATCCGGGCTGCGTCTCGGCGACGTCCGGGGGATTTCACGGGTGTTTTTTTTCAAGGTTTACCAATGAATGGGAGCTATCTTACTGGTGCTTAGTAGGGAATGGATGGGTTGCTGCTGGGGGAATGAATGATTATTACTAGTGATTGTGGATCATTCCCTCATTCCCTGCTAAGCACCAGTAAGTTATACAGAGACATGAGCGGTTACATGGGATTTTATGTGATTTGGCCTTTTGGTAATGGGATTCCCTGATCACTTTTTCTCAGATTCGCTGAGAGGTTTCATGGGGTTTCATCTGGAATTTTGATGGATTTGGGTGATTTGATTTCTGAGGTCATGGGATGTTGATGGTGGCACAATGGGTCCGATATAATGGAGTGTCCTAGTATTGGGCATATCATGGGGATATAACCTGGCATGAATGGCCGGAATAGTAGGATACAATCAACAAAAATGCTGTGTTAATTGTGTTCAGTGGGAAATAGCATAACCAAGAAATCATGGAAGTCTAACCAGTTGTTCTGAGATCGTGATGTTTTTTCTTGAGGTATATGGAGATATCTCATATTCCAATATCTGGATCCATGGAACTCAAGAAATCTGCTTGGCCCAGGAACTGGTTGGAAGCCGAAAAGATATGGGGAAAAATATGCTACCTCCGCTGATTTCCTCTGGATTTCCCATCCATTTCACCGCGCCAATCTCTTTACACAGCTGGCTCATTTCTCAGGTGCTGATGGTGCGGTGCGTTCGCAAGACGGCTATGTGGCACGACGCTTGTGGCAATGTTGGGGAGGTTGATCGGGGCCAATGACTGTTTCTGGCAAACTCTTGGAAGCGGCAACAAAAATGACTGTGGGAGAACAAACAAGTTTGCGACAACAAAACAAGTAATCCATGAATAAATATATATATATAATATAATTATTTTTATTATGGTGTTTAATCCTTTTTACTTGAATTAGGGTGGAACTGTGATATTATTCCAAAGGTAGCCGGTGTGACAGGAATCTGCACCCTCTTGTTTTGCAGCTTCTAAAACCTTTAAAATTACATGCGCGGCAAGGTGTTTATTTTGATATGTTGCTTGGGATGCTATAAGCACGTGAGCAAATTGGAACACCTGCAGGCATAGTAGTTCCGCCAATCAAAGTTGATTTTGCACAGAAAAGACACACGCACACCGCCCTCAAATCTGAAGACATTGACATGAGGATATTTGTCTGCTGGCAGTGTTTTGATCTTTGAAGCCGATCTGGTAAAGCGTTGCTTGGCATTGGAAAAGGCTGCGATTTAACCGGGCAAAAATACAGGTGGTTGTTAAACATGGATTTTGAACCCCACCCGATATTAGTGGAAACATATTGATGTGCACATTTTTTAATAGTTAATCATATGAGTGAAATACCCACCATAACAGAACATGTATAATGGGACATGATGGGATATGATGGGATACACAGCTAGCTTGATATCATATTGTTGGGATAGCTAAGGGTAATTTACTTGCCATTTGGGTTGGGCGAAGCTCGAACTGATGTGTATTGCTGGAAGGTTGACTTGCCTTACTCCCTGTGCGAGAAGATTATGGTGGCAAATGTGGTTCTAGTTTGTCCAACATATTTTTCTTTGGTGTTGTTTCGTTAAGTTTCGTTGTTTTTCTTTTTTCTGTGGTGTCTTGTTGCTGGCTGGTCGGAATTGTTTTCTTCAAGCCTCTTGTTGCAAAACTTCTGCAGTATCCATCCAGTGGCTTGATGAGAGCATGTGGTCATTTCGGCGTCATGTCCTTCTGTATTTTCCTACTGAAGACTTGCCCACGATTTAGGATGACGGCTTTTATTTTTGTGTTGTCCTTTTTGTTGGGTGCGTGGATTTTTTTTTCGAAAACTGATCTCTGCCATTGCATCTCCCCCTTTGTTCCAATCGTTCGGATTGTTTGTGGCCACCTCCCCATCTTCACAAAATGATTCAGCACCATGATCAAGTGACAAAGACACATGTTTTTGATTCATTTTCTGATGTTTCTTATTCTTATTGTTTTGTTATTGCAATTGTAAGTCTTGCTTTATCATTGACATCAATACTTTTTTTCCTTCTATTCTATCTATTTTGTGTTTGCTATACATGGAGGAACATCCCACCTAGTGACTGGTTAGTAACCGTGCTTTTTTAACCCAATTATCAATGGGATAATTCCACAAGAAGGGGACTTAACCTGGGTTGGTCACCAGCTACGAGCCGTTGGATGATACCCCCACTATCCCTATGATAACCCAATAATATTTCCATATCTTTCAGCCATTCTTGACTCAGCTCTGCTTTTTTTTGATAGTTGGGTCGGTGAAACTTCTAATGATTCTCCAAATAGACTACCCGCTGGTAAACTAACATAGCTATTTTTCAGATGTCCTCTTTATCGATGATTTACCTGTGAAACACGGTGATTTCCATAGTTTTTTGTAGGTTTACTGGAGGATACGAATCTCGGTATTTGGCCCATGATTGGCCCATGATTGGCCCATTGTTATGCCATTAAACCCCATTCCATCACCATTTATAGTGGTTAAATAACGTTAAATTCCATTAAATCACCATTTTTCTTGGTTAAAGATGACCAATTCCATGGTTTTAGAGTGGTTTAACCAAAAAAAACACAGCATTCCGAGGGAAGGGCTGGGAAGTCCCCATAGCTATTGCGAGGTCAGTT